TTGTGTGGTCTCTGGATTTGTGTTCTGATATTACGTTATCTGCTGAACGTTCCATGGCTCCACTTCTGCGTTTCTTTTTTTTTTGTTTCGTTTTCCTTCTGAATGCTCTTACTATTGCAAAAGTATGTGGTGGAGGTTTTATCTGTTTCGGTTCTCAAATCCTAACGTGGATAAGTTAGTTGTAGTTTAACTTTTGGGGTTTGTACAGAATGGTGAAAGTGAATCTTAGGATTAGGAGAACTTAGAAGTAGAGATGAGTGAGGATGAAGTCCAAGTTGAGGAAACCGAGGCGGTATGCATTCGTAGAAGTATGTTCTGTCCTGGAGAAAGCCTCTTCCTTGTTTGTAATACCTATTCAACGAATCGGTTGATTCGGACTCGACGAATTCTAAGCATCAGGTCCTTCACCGTCCTTTAGAGTCTCCTTGTTTTCCATCCATCCTTTTCAAACCCTAGCTGAAAAGGTCCAGATTACCCTATTTGAATTTTATTTTATTTTGAATATTGGATTCCTCAAATTTGATTTTTAGAAGTGAGCAGTTCTGATTTTTGAGCTACACATTTCAGCAGCTCAAGGGTTTAAATTCAGATTTGAGCGATCTTCATGATTGAGGTTTGAGCAATTACTTTTCCTGTATATTTTTCCTTCATGAATGTAGTTCAAATACATGAATGGAAGATGCTGTGTGTAGATTTGATTTTTATGTGTATATGATTACTATTAAATTGCTTTGAGTCATGGCGGCTTTATAATACTAATGTTGGTTGTGTTCATTATAGTCAGGGAAAATGATCTGGAGCATTCTTATTGGGATAAGCTCATCAAATTTGGTAGCAAGATGGTCCTATCTGGCTTAATTTTCCTATTGATACCAGGTTTTTTCATCTAATTGAGATGCACAATAAATTTAAGGCTATTAATAACAAGTAGATCAGTGATGAAAGGCCTAGAAAGAAATTTTATCCTGAATTCAGTTCTGAAAACTAATATTTGAATGCTCATATAAATCATATTTCCCATTGTAGGATTAACAGAAGTAACAGTAGTTTGTTGTATTTGGTACTCTTTCGCATTCTGCCTTTATCCTCGTCGTGATACTTTTTTTAAACATGTGCAGGACTATATACGAAGAGAATGTACGCTTAAATAAGTCATTGGAATTTTATTTAGGTTCAAGAGCTTTCACTTTCGTATGACAGTCGCCTACAGAATATTAAATAAATCATCTCTTCTTCGGCACTGAAGAATTCTTCAGATTCAAAGTCGTTTCCACTCATTTCGTTTATCCCTCATTGTTTGTGGGTTAGTCCCGTTCTTAATTTATAAGTTTTGATGTTTCTATTTTTAGTTTTTAAAGTTGAATCAATTTCGTTTAAATTGGGCTGTAGATTTTATGTAGTAGTAAGAAATTCAAAGCATTGTGGTTGATTGAATATTGGCTTTCTAAAGTTTGATGTTCAGAAGTGTGAGCTTTAGGGTGTGATTTGAAGCATTGGGTTTGCTTTTATGTGTCAAATACAAAACTAAGGATATATGTATATAAAACTGAATTCAACTACTTTTGTAAATGGTATGTCAAATATATGTATGTAAAACTTAAGATATCCTGCTCAATTTTGGGGTTCACTTTTGAGCGGTTTGCAATTGTATTAGCGATGTAATTATGTAAGTCTGAAAGTATATTGGATTTGGAGGTGCAGGGGAGTAAGTTTGATTGCTTGATTTTTCTGTTGAAGTTGATCTTTTCAGATGTGGTCAGAAAATTTTCATTGTTCTACATACACAAGTTGCAGTTCATTTTATTGACTTCTATCCACCATTCAAAACCCACATTTCATGCACCTTTTCAGTAGTTTTTATTAGATTAATTATTTTGAATTATCTATCACTGTTTTGTTAGCAAAAAAAATAGTTTAGGGTTTAGGTATGGTTACATCATATGTGGACATGAAGTTTCTATGTACACGAGGATAGAGGGTTTTGGATTTCAGATAGTTCTTCAAAGTGCAGAATAATGTAATAGTGTAGGAAAAACTAATATGGTAATTAATATTGGTCAGTTTTCTGTCATATGCAGTTGCTCCATATAAAGTTACAATATCTCAATTCAAAAGTTGTGTTTCATCTCAAATCTTACCTCAGCTGTCCTTTCATGCAGGAGAATGCAGAATAGTTGTCCAGGGATCTTGCATACAAATTATCGCCTGATGATGTTTTTGTGACAGCTTGATGTTTGCAAGCTATTGAAATGGGAATTTCCATTTCGGCGTGCCCCGGGACTAATGTTCTTCTGCCAAGACCAGGTTTCTCAATTTATGGACTTTGTGCCAGCTTTAGAAACATTAAGGCTCATTATTATGATCTGCTGCCTCATAACGTCTGGTATATAGCCGTGATGGTTTGCATATTATTAGGTTCCAAATCGTTTCTTATTGATTTTTACGTTTTCTTTCCCCTTTTTATTTTTGGGACTCATCACGGCTAGTGGAAATGATGTACCTCTGTATGTCTTATGAAAATGATTAGTCTCGTGGTAATGCATTTGCTATCCTTTCTATAGAAATATTTTAACAACGTGTACCATTATGACATCACCCTGTATCCTTAAAAAATGGCTAAAAAAAAAAACAACACAGTCAATTTGCTGTACTCGTTTAGTTCAAACCAGTGAAGTACCGTAATTAGTTATCATTTTTGTGGTCATCAATAAAATGCAGTCTCCCACGTATACTCCGTGTATTAACAGAATTGCACATCAGTTGTAGAATTTTCTCATTCAATAACAACCATTCTCTTTTCTTTTCTTTTCTTTTTTTTTTTTTTTTTTGGGTACAGAATGACAACCGGTTTCTTATTGCATAACAATCACACACTATATGTGTACAAAGTTGTCTTATGGAAATGGAATGCTAAATATCCACAGAAAATCTAACCCGGCCCATCCGACGGAATAGCCAGAATTGCAACTCCGTCTTGGCATATTTTCACCAAAATTTTCGGAAAGACCCCATCCATCAAGTTTGTCATTCGAGCGCAAGCTACACCGAGATGTATATTTTTGGTCCACTCCTTCTCAGGAGCAATATTCCTGTCCATTCATGTTCTAGAGGCACTTTTTTTTTACATAATTATGCTCAAGGGCACCGGAAGAATAGAATTAATTATTAAGGGCATTAGAATTTTTTTTATTAATTATGTAATTAATTAAATACATCTAATGGTTTTTGGCTAACTAAAAGACTACTTTATCTTTCTTACCAAATTTGTAAATTCATCTCACTCGATTAAAGTAAAGCCTGATCATAATCGGCCATCATCATTGCTCTTTTCTCCTTTCCAGACTTCAGCTTGAGATGGTTTACATAAACCATAAAATCCCAATTGTTTTTGTTATTTTCCCCATCTCAATTAGCTTTCCAAAATCTTTTTATTCTAATTAGTAAAATCTTTGACCCGTCAAATGGACCACGAATTCGTGCAATTGATGATCAAGAAGGAAGTTACAAACATCCTGGGCATATGCATGTCTGGTGCGATGATGCCTTTAATGAAGAGTCTAGACTTAAAAGAAGAAGATTTTAGTAAACATCATTTGAGCCACTACTCTTTGAATATGACAAGCTATTTTGAATTTGAATTAAATTCGATTTTGAATTTAGTAAATAAACAATTCTAAATCTGAAACTTCCTAGTTTTAAGAAGTTCGGCCTAAAATGGAAATTACGTTATTCAATAACACTTACTCTCTTACTAGAAATTTGCATCAGCGAAACACGAAAATCCTTTATTTGAAGTGCATATATGTGTGATAGCTTTTTGATTGAAAAACTAGGGTTAGAAGATGCTAGAGTAGATGACTGAACTAAGAGAGAGCAAATCACGATTGAAGTGATAAGTAGAAAACGGAAAAAAAAAAAAAAAGGGAGAAAAAACTGATTGGATGAAAAAGGATTAATAAGTCATTTGAAACTTTAAAAAGATAAGAACTAATTTAATATTCCTGTTAGAGTATAAATATATCTTATGCCCTTCTTAATAATTTTACTCTTTCTTATGCCCTTAATCAAAATTCTCCCTTTTTTTTTTTTTGTTCAAGCGCCAACCAGAGAGGTGAAGGAAGAGAAAAACTGAGAGCTGGCTTGTTTATAAGTTGTATCACCAAATCCAGGGATCAAGCAATATATCGCAACCAACATGAACCAATTTCAATGGCTTTCTAAACCTCCCCGTAAGCTGACAGATCTTCCATCTTGACAAGCTTATTTCCGCCGGAACTTGAAAATTGAATTGAACCCGAACTCCTGTCATTCGTTAAATTTGGTTAAAAGCCAGTGGATCAAGACCTTTGAAGAAGACCGTAATGCGGTTGGTGCTTTTCGGGGGCAGAAAAGGCGGTTAACTCAGTTGAAAGTGTGGGGGTGATCGAGGGTGAGTGCTGAAAAGGGGTGGCTTTTGTGGGTTTTCTCGGAGAGATTGAGAGCAGAACAAACCAAATATGGCGGAAAAAGTAAAAAGGAGCTGGAAATATCTACACTGATAGGGTTTAGGAGTCAGTTTTGTGGAATGTGGAATGAATGATGGGGCTTGCTCTGTTATATACTTCCTCCGTCTCAACTCAAGAGGGAAAAAAAAATAGCCATACGAAATCGAAATTTCACAATTGGGCTTTACAATTGAATCTTCTAAATTTGGTCCAATTTTTATTTATTTATTTTTGTTAAAAGCATTGGATTTCCATTTCGGAGTGTATCTTCAAATGAAAAGGAGAGGACTTTTAGTTCATGGCATTAAAGCTATTCACTGTGTCTTGGCGTCAGGGTACGACCGAAAACCCTCACTCTACTACCCAGGCCGTATCCCACGGCGACTTTCCGATCATCATTGCATCATGGTAAAAACCGGTAGAAAAAAGAAGCAGCAGCTAAAATGGGCAAGTGGCTCCGGCGAGGCCAGGCCATTCCTTTCATATCCCTACTACCAAGTGAACCCTAAAAATGTCAACTTAAGTACCTAATAAAAGGAAAAGAAAGCATGTAATGATCTCAAAATTAGTAATACAGCAGCACTGAATACTGATAAAAGACCCGTGGAACTTCCATAAATGATATGAATATCATATTTTACAACAGTACACCTAGCATCGAAAAGATACCAAATACGGATAGATTAGATATATCATATGATTTTTTTTTTTATATTCCAGTCAATTTACAACTATACTGTCACATAATGTAATTCCAAGCTCCAAGAGATCTGCTCTCTACGTTTATTTGATTGTACGAGATTCAATCAAATTCTTACTTCTCCTGCACTACCAACTTTTGACAAGGATCATTGAAAGACAAGCATCACGCCACCTCAATCGACGTTGGAAAGCTCTCACCTGGTCAAACACATATTTCAAAACACGCTTAAAGAACTTCGACAACCAAGATTCTTCATCCACACACACACAGGCCAACAAGTGGAATATAATTAGCATTACATACAAGCAATCCCCTGGTTCTGATTATAACATAACAACAGAGTAAGAGAAAATGCATAATGGCATATAGAAAATGTAAAGAAGCGCACTGAAAAATGAAGTAAAATACATGGAAAACCGACACACTCCAATACAGAGCCAAAGAATGCTCTCCATCCGGTTACAGACATTTCAAATTTTAAACATAGAGAAAGCCCAGGTCCCAGATTTTATTCTGCCATGGTTTCTTTTACCGTTACACTTTTCTAAAGTTTCACTTTCTTGAATCTATCTCAAAAATCTCAAGCACCCAGCAGATTTCCTAACCCGGTACTACAGACATCTATTATAAAAGAAATAATATCACCACCAGGGTAAAAATGGGATTTATATAAATTAAACAAGAGAAGCATAGACTGTGCACCAAATATATAATCCTCTCAAATATATCTCCGCTGGATACTCCAACAGCTTCCTATCCCTCATTCAATGTGCTGCACGCCTACACATTCATTCTACTTACCTTCCTTTCTTCAAAAGAAGAAAAGAAATATTAACGAAGGTATAAATATGGATCCTATATGTCATTACACAGTACTCTGACATGTCTTGCAAAGACAGCTAACACCTTCTACCGTGGACCGTTCTACGTAACTCAACAGACCTAAGGAAATGTACTCAACAGGAAATTCTATTGAAACCGACAGCTATCAAATCCAGGTGGTTCAAATCACCAGTAAACCACTTCAATAATTTTGTTCACAGATAATTAGCACAAAACATACTCTTCGCTTTATTTGGCAAAGAACTTGATAGCATTAAAGCACTCAGAAAGAACAAAAGTAGGTTGTCAACTTCCATGTTCGAAACTTAAAGCACAAACATATTAGTAATATTACTTCCAAGGATATAATTAGCAAGAGGTGTGGATTAAAACTGCAATATGTTATATATCCTAAGTACTCATCTTGAGATGCACAATGCCAAAGGCTCACCAATATGTTCAATAAGCACACCATCTAACACCGGGAAAAATGCAAATGAAGCGTGCAACATTGCCAATAAGACAATCAACTAAATCATTCTTGAGGAGTAAGAGTTATTTACAAACATTCTCCAATGAACTATCACCTCAGACCCCCAATGACCCCAGTCAGAAGGTGTATCACAATAAGGGAAGAAAAAAATTTGAATTTTTAGCTAATGGAGTTGCCAGGGAAAGAGGAAAAGGACAGGTGGATACGCATCATTGACGGAAAAGAGCAGTAAGGTCATACATAAAGATAGAGGGGGGAATAGTATCGGGCCAGGGAAAAAACACAAACACAAAAAGCATGGAAAGAGGTCATAAGAATCTCTTAGTACTACTGATCATCTGACGCACAAAGACCATAATAAATCAGTCAAAGAAGATTTAAAGCCAAAATGGAAAAAGAGAAGGAAAAACAAAAGAAAAAGGCAACTCACACAGGATACTAATGCTCTAAAGACACAATCACTCAGCAACCAATATCATCAATTTCTCGGAGTCTATCTGATCCTCCCTCTGAAGGAATTTTCCTTTCAACACTATGCTTAAGTTCACTCTGAAGAACAATAACAACAAACAACGCTTCAATCCACTATGTGGGGTTGGCTATATGAATCATTTGTTGTTTTCGTGCTCACTAATAACACAAAGTTCATTCAAATTCAGATTTGTCTTTGTTGATAGTTCCTTCCAAATAACTTCACGTATTCCCTTTCCACTTCAATTTGGATTAAACATTGTGTTTTCTATGCATCTTATGGCAACATCTGAAGATCTACGCCAATCATGTCAAAGACATTTAACAGTGAGTAGTTCACTCATTTTCTCACCTATAGATGCAATCCAACTTTCTTTCTAATACCCTATATTACTATGAAGAAGTTCAATGAAGGCAGAAATCAAAATAGGACAAACCACTAAGATGCAACATATAGACACAAGAATAACAAAGAGACTTTACTGACAATTACAGAGGAAAAAACATGATTTTCTGTCTCTGGGCCTCAAGTTTTATTCACAATCATTTCAATTACAGTTAAAAGCCATTGCTCTGGAGTACATTTAAAATACTGAGGGTATATACTATATAATGGAACTTAGGAAATAACGCAGAGATGGTTCTGAATTAAGTTAAAGTGGTCACCACTGCTTTTCCAATTTTCTCATGACATGTATGCATGCAAACTGTAAAGTTATAAAAACCACAGTAACACTCAAAAATACCAGGCAGTGAACTGATACTAGCTTTGCAATAACAAGAACATTCAAGTTACAGAACTTACATAAATCCAATAAGACACTCCTAAAGAAGTTAGACTCGGACTAAGATAAAGACACAATTAAGGGGAAAACAAGGGTAAGTTCCCCCCCCCCCCAAAAGTTCAGTTGATTCCATGCACAGAAAACAAATACGATTGCTTTTAAATTGAAAACTCACTTCATAGCAAATGGTGAAGATAACCTCAGCGGAGACTCAACTCGAGGCAGAACTTGTAGCTGGTGGAGTGTGGATGTTATCCTCATTCAAAGAGCTTTCACTGGCTATTTCGTTATGTTGGTTGGACTGACCGGTGGATGAGTTGTCCACTTCATTATTTGATACAGAAGCTGTTTCGTTTCTTCTGTTGTCTCCAGTTTCCAGATTCTCCATCATTTGAGATACAGTAGCAATCCCTACATTGCTTTCTCTTCTTATGTCAGGACCAATGTCTTGTGCAGAATTATTACGCTGAAACAACTTCTCCTTCCAGCCCCTTGTGCTCTTCGTGATCGATTCTTTGTACCTTTTAAGGCATAAAATATCAAAATCAGCTAAAAGATTACACAACTATCAGATAATTAATCACCCGCTAGCACAAGCCCTTTGACTACCTTGTTGATAAAGCATTAAATCGGGATTTAAGAGATTCTGAGAAGGATTGGAAATCTGACGGTCCAGCTCTATCCTGACTGCTAGGCGATGAAGGAGTAGGGGACCTCCTGAAATGAAGGCATCGATATTTAAGAGGAGTGCCGATTAAGAGACAAAAATGAGTTTCCTTCACCAATTATACAACAACACTCGGACTGATGATAAAATTTCAGATGTAAAGGCAAAAATTGGTACCTCATATTCACATTTCCATGTTGAATAGCTACAGCACTTGATCCTGATAATGAAGTAGAAAGCTGATCCGAATTGTTAGAAGGTACTGAATTTGCTTGAGTAGAATCCCCCCCAACAGTTAGTGAAGGAGATGCAGAGCCACCAGTCATAACTGGTTCAGGTTCAACCCCACCCTCAAAATTTGGAGAGGAAGTAGCCACTGCAGCTGGGGGTGCATTTGGATTTGTTGAAAACACAAGAAAGTGGGGACGCCCGTGAGCTGATGATCTGGTCCTCTGACCTTCCCTCCGGGCAAAATGGCGTGCCCTTCCCATAGCAGCTGCAGCAGCTAAATGTTGAATAATGCGCTCTTCCAACTCAGATTCAGTAGCACTAACTGGTAACTGCATAAGTTTCACGAAAGATGATTATGATAAATTCATGATTGTTCATAATAAACACAACAATTTAAGCCAAGGTGAGAATCTACATACGTGCTGAAGCTCAAAATCCCCCAAAGTTGGATGATGAAAAATAGTAGTGTTTCGAGGTGGATTCATCCTAATTGTTCTTTCATGCTCCACAGCATCAAGCAGCTCCTGGCTGACAACAGAATAGGTATTACAACTTTATAAAGCAGCAAAAGCACCAGCTCAAAGAAAGGAGGATCGAAGAGTACAACTCTTACCTGCCAGGATCCTTCAAACTGATAGGCTGCCAACACATAGGGCACTTGGAGCTTCTCTGACACCTAAGAGACGACAAAATCAGTCACAAAGTTCATTTCTGTTACTGGCCAATCATTGACTTCAAAATCCCACAGCAGGAAAACTATGTAATCAGCCACACACACAAAAAAAAAAAAAAAAAGTATTCGAAGAAATTTTTAGATTGATATATTTCAAACTAGTTGCACTTTGCAGTAGCTTCAACAGAAGATTGACTTTAAAAATTTTATTTTTGATATAATCCAAGGCAGTCTTTAACCATTGCATCCTTCTGATATTGATACCAACATATATTTATGATGCTAATTTTTCTATATATTGTTGTTCAGCAGCTTTCAGCACTTCACAATAGAAATTTTAAACATTGACTTGACAACGGTAAGCCAGAATAATCATCCAAACAGTACGGCGATTGAATATGAGAGAAATGAGAACATGACAGAACTAAACCATTTAAATATTTATCCAAAAACAATTGAAATTCATGAAGTTTAAAGGCCAAGAATTAAGGGTACTCCTCAGAACTCCCAAATTACATCAGAAATGAGAAGAAAGATAGTATTATCAGTGGGCAGAGCCAAAAAATCACCAAATTTATCAAGATGCATCATCTTTAAAGACCCATCACCTTCAAAGAGCACATTTTAGTCATAATGGGTGATCAAGCAGTTCTCCATTCATCTAGCTCCTAAATCTTGCACTGATAGCCCAAATGGCTGACTCTAACCATAAGCTCTTATTTAATGGGACACTCGAAACTCCACTAGATTTACTGCAACAATAAACTATCCAGTCCAACTTAATTGCAAAACCCCGAAATATAACAGATAGTAATTCCCACCCGAATCAGCAACTGTTGAAACAAAAAGCTATACAATAGATAGTCCACTATTCTATAAAATATTCAACAATGCACTAACCCGACAGACATATTCGACAACAGAATGTGAATGGATTAAGAAATTATCAAAGTGAGTTGTTTCATAACAAGAAGAACGAAATATAATGTATGACAACTTATTCATCAGCATAAAGGATAATACCATTCAAGAACACACTGAAGATGGAACTCATGCTTGCAGTTAGTAACCTGCAGGACAAAACATGATCAAATGTCAACTGGAGTCCAAGAGAATACGCAAGGATCGGAGCAAGTCGTAATTTTGTACTGACCGTGGATGGATCACTTTCACAGAAATCTTCAAGACATATGCTGCAAGCATCATCACAAGCATCCTGAATTCCACCTTCGACAAAAGCAGCTGCTGATGTCAAATGGCTCTCAGCCGCTTTTCCTTCTTCCATCTGCATTAAGTAGAAACCTTTAGAATCAACCAAAACCCAGTAGGTGGTAATCATATCAAATTGAATTAAGTTCCCTACTTTACCCCAGAGCATAGAAGGAAGCTCAAGAACAGACAAATAACTAGTGGCACCAGAAAACGTACATTTTCAGAAACTAAAAGTAGAAGCTCATACCAGAAGTCTTTCCGTATTAAAAATGAACAACTTTGTTTATGATCACAATGGAAAGAGACAAACTTAATACAGAATTAAAAACAGAATTTTATAACGCAAATTAAGTCTTCAAAGCTGATAGCTTGCTTCCTCCCAATCCATTTCTTTATTCACCAATGCTAATTGGTTCATTAAACAACGAGATTTCTAAATAATAAACAGGGTCGAACATAGCAGGACTAATCCAACTCAAAAGGAAGCAAAGGCATCCTGCCTTTCATTCCAACATCAATCCAACTATCTTACTCTAAAATTAAGCAAAACCCCATACAGTAAACGAAGTTTAGAAAAATAAAATAAAATAAAAAATTCACCCAGCGAAAATTTATACAAAGGCATATATATAGACACAAAATTATAGCGAACTAATCCAAACTTTTCACTACCCTTCAAAAACCCACATGGAAATTCTAATAAAAGAGCTATTTAGAACCGGTCACTGCCGGAAGACACCAAAAAATCGAAATTCGATATTCCGGTGAAGAACAAAGGCACACAAATTTAAGAAAACTCACCTTAAAGCGACCTAATCGGACAGATCAAAGTCAATCCGAGGTTGAGAATTCAGCAGAATGTTGAAATTCGTCCAAAAGGGATTACAAAAGAGAAGCAGATAACAGAGATTGAATACAAATTTGAGAGGAAGGAGGAATGGGGCAGGAGCTGTGGAGGTGGAGGAGGTAAGAAAGACGAGGAAGACGACTTCGTACTATGTAGACTTGGTCCACCGGATGTTTTCGGTGCTAAAGTTTTTCTTCATTATTTTAAGACATAAAAATATTGTTTTCACAGGATTTTATTTGGTCACGCGTATCAATAATATTAATATTATGATTATTATTATAAGTAATAAGGTTTTACTCTGAAAATAAAATAGAGGGGTTTACATTTTAATTACTAAATTATCTTTTAAAAAAACTGCTATTATGTAATAGTAATTATTTAGTTTTTAGTGAATTCTTTTGCTGCTATTGTGTACTAACGGTAAGTAATTTTTTGGAGCTATTGAGGCTGTTAAAGGTCTACATTATTCTTATAATAATTGTTTTGATAATCACAAGTAGCTGGGGTTCAATATTATTTTGGAAATTATTTTTCTAGAAACTGTTAGTTATGGGAATTTTACTTTGAATTTGGAGACATTATTATTGTGAATTATCGCTGCAAAATGTTTTCATTAAAATACGAATATTTACCCCACACGATGTACATCTTGTGTTAATTCAAAATTAAATAAAATTTGAGTAGTAATTTAAAAAAAAATATTTCGCCACATCCAAATTGACGCCCTGCTTTATTACGGATAAAAGTCTTTTGTAATTAGTAAGCATATTTTTTTATCATTATTTATTGAAAAAATTAATAAGCTCATCATCAAATCACATAATAAATTACTGATATGAAATTTGTAAGACTTTTTAGTGCTCAATCAATCTATGAAACCTTTCATTGCATATTTTATCATCAATGTCAAAACTTCAACAATCTGTTCTCTATAAATGAACCAATATTAACTAGATTGTGGTTGAATATCTCTGTTACTATTTTTTTTTTGTCCCTTTTGCTTCCATCATCCTAAACTAATGTTGGGAAAGAGATGAAAAAGAGCAAAGATGTTTTGAGACCGTAAAACTTTTATTAAAAGAGGGTTACATTTATTTTATGAGAAGTCTAACATATAGACAACTCTACACCAACTAAAAAGAAAAAAAACACTCTCCAATCCCTAAAATAACTCTAAAACTTTACATTCAAAAACTAAAAATCTCCAAAACAAACTCAACCAAACTAATCTAGATAAAACTCAATCCTAACTTTATTTATTTCTCTGATTAAATCTTTGCAGTAAAACAAAAAACTTAACCCAACAACTAAAACAACCAATTTTCATTGTTGAAACTAGTTTCAATGCACGCTTTGTTAGCAAGTCACCAATTTGTTATTTTGTCGTTTCAATATCATCATTAAAATAGTCTAAAATAAATAAAGTATTTGAAGGGAAAACAACAATAAAACAATCATTTTATAGAAAAATGGTATTTTCACTACAAAATTGACTTCAATAGACAGGCATGTGTGCTAATTAAACAAAAAAAAAAAAAAAAACAAACCTTTATATGTTGGCATGTGTTTCATATTCAAATTGCCCAACTTAAGTATTTCTATCTTTTGTAATCACATAGTAGTGATGATGATGATGGATTGATGGGTAATGGGCCAGAAGATGGTTAATAATAAATGGGTCGTACTATAGCCCAACTCCTTTATTAATGATGATTTGAGTAAGTATCATTTTCGGCTTATACATTCGTAACTCTGGTGGCCGGGTGTTAATTTCTGGCAATTTTTTGTTCTGCAAGTATGATGAGATCTCTTTAGATTATTTTACAGGTTTACCAACGTGATCTATCTCTCTCTATATATCTTACTATATTAGAAACAAAAACCACACTTAAGAGAAAGCACCACCATTTGTCATATGATATTTCCACGTCATATTTTTAAAATAAATTTTTATTTCCACATCTCCTAAACTTAAAAGGCAAATGCAGTCCAAATTTATTTCCACCTCCTATTTTTGTCAAAAAAAAAAAAAAAAACCACGGGTTCATAAGAAACCCAAATCTTCATCCCCATTGCCACGACAATCGACTCCTTAATCAATCCCTTCTCCACAATTAAAAAAAAATAAATTCCTCATCAATCATCAATTGAGAATATGTGGTGAAATATACTCCTTTCCTATTAGTATGTTCAATCTTTTCATTAGTGATGATCAACTACATCCTAATCGGATAAAAATTTTAACTTCAAAAAATATTCTCTTTACCTCTCTATATAAACACAAAGGAAAAAAAAATTCCCATTGATCTTGCTTCGGCCGTTGTGGTGGTACCATTACAGGTATTAAAATTTAAATGATTTTATTTCCACAGATAATTAGTTTGGCTTTTATTATTTTTTTTATTTTTTCCGTTCAAGAATAGTGTTATTACTATTATTTTTATGCGTCCATCCGTTACAGCTACCGGAACTGTTGTCAGATAGTATGATGTGATTTCTTATTTGGTTAGTTAGTCTATAATTTTTGTATGATTTTAGTTATGTTTGGATTGAATTGATTGATTGGGTTTTTGTTAATAAGTGTGGTTTTTAAAATTTTTTTTTTTTATGTTTCATTCAATTAGAGTGGTTTTCTTTTTTTAATTATGGAGTCTCAGGTTTTTTTTTGTATATGCCCAGTTATGAAGTGTGTTTTTTCTGTGTTTAATTGCTTTTGATTTTGTTTCATACTCCCAGTTGACCAATTATTATTATTATCATTATTATTTTATTTGCAAATGAAGCATTTTTTTTTTTTTTGTGTTTGGAGTTTCAAGAATATACTTTTTTGGATTTGATTTTTGGACTTTTTTTAGTTTCTCATCATATAAATAGTTCAGGTCTCTTCTTTTAACTAATTTATGGGGAAGCCTTATATGAATTTGAGGTGGAGAGAGAAGGAATGATGTTTCTACGTTTATTTATGTTTTTATACATCATTTTTACCTACAGAAAAAAATAAAAATTCTCAAATTTTAATGGGCTATCTTTTACTCTTTTTTTTTATTTGCTATGGTGATGTGAGTTCTTTTTTGCTATATCTTGAAACCTCTGCAAATTTGCATTATTTTCATTCTCATATTTGTGATCAACCAGTTTCAACAATTAACCAGTATCAAAATCATATTTTTGATATTTTACTACGTATAAACTTTTTGAAGAAATAGTTCCAACAATTAAACGTATACCCTTTGGAGGAAGCTAACTACAAAGCTACTATAAATCTCCAAAACTAAGTATTAATTTGGCACAACCAATGGAGAACATCAATAAATTATCTTACTAATATTTAAACTTATTAGGATACTTTTATATTTTTTCTAGCATTTACTTCAAGATATATATTTGATCAAGTTTATTTATATTTAAGAAGTAACATTTATAAAACATTTCTAAAATCTTCAAACATTTCTAAAACGTACCGGTCCAAATACAATTTATTTTTGCCAAATACAAATATCACACTTATAAAACATTTCTAAAAATTCTTCAAATATTTCTAAAATATATCGGGCCAAATACAAAATATTTTTTTTCCAGATACAAATATTTCTAAGATCTACAGATATTTTGAGCCAAAGTCGCACATTGCACGACCAGACATCACTAGTGTATATATATATATATATATATATATATATATATATATATATATGACGTTGTATTTATTAAGCTTGCCAACTTGATTAACGTAGTGTATTTTTTGTGAGGAATTTCACCATAATCATAAAAACGTGATCTATTGAACTAGTTCATTGCAAATTTTACTGTATGCAGCTATGCATGATACATCTTCTTTAATTAAAACTCTTTTTATGACAAAAGATTTCACCATAAATATAGAATTTTAACTGTGCATATATACAAAATTTTTAACTGTTTTTAGTTTTAACCAACGTACAGAACTACAACATTGACTAGGGGACTAATTTAGTAAGTTTCTCTTGTATTGAATGTTGTTCTTTGTCCAATTCTTCCATTCCAGACAAAGAGATAGATCTCTCAAAAAGAGAACGGAGAAGCCTACCTTCGTACTGTATTCCCATTCCTTTTGGATTGATACTAGAGATAGTAACTTGCAAATTCGGAATGTTTAAACAGGATCTCTTGTATTCAATGTGATTGCCGAGATCCTGTTTTTTTTTTTTTGGGTTCAAAAGTATCTTTAAAATTAATCTCAAATCTCAAACACACAAATACACACAACACAAGCCAAAACAACAATCTAAACGGAAACATCCGTAATGGGACAAAAACCGTACAGTAAACGCAGATTGTATACATTATGCAATATGCAATATGCTACCGATTGCTAAGCTATAGAGAGATCATACATTTAGCAAGAACTCTAATCGGAAATGTTACCGATGGTCATCGTTCTTGTTTTCCATAATCCACGATCTCATTTCAATGAAAACCGAGTCCCCACTTCCCCTTGATCATTATGTACAATACCAATTACAGACAGACCACAAAAATTCAGGCATTCAATATAAAGTGGATTCTGTATAGGCCATAACCACTAAACTTGGTAATCAATCGAATCATCAATCAATCATTGCAAAAACTCCAATTAGGACGATGATCATCGTTCTTGCTTCCTGATCAAATCCATTTTCTTCAACCCACAATAAGAAATGCGCTTTTTTTTGATTGATTTTATAATTCATTCTTCTCTCCTAGCAAGCAATTCATTCTTCTCTCCTAGAGTAACTCCTCCAAAAACCTGCCCCATAAAAACGGTCCCACATCTCCGAATCGAGATCAACGGCAGCCCCCTTGGGATTATCATCGCCGCCGTCCGATTCGTCGCCGTGGTGGTGGTCGAATCCATACGCAACGGCATCATGGCCGTTCATCCTCTTCCGTGAATTCTCGTCCGACAACAGATCGTTCTTCCTCCTCCGCAGCAATTTCTTCCTCTTGTGCTTCCTAATCGCCTTCCTACAAAGTCCGGCGGGGACTCTGTAGACGGCTAAAACGATCAGGTGCATGAGGGCGCAGGGGCAGCAGCAACACACGGCGGCGCACTCCGCCGCCGTCCCTCCGGCGACCTCCCCGATCCTACTCCCATTCCCGTTATCATTATTCTCCTTGTCGTCTCTCCCCGTATGAACATTCCCCGGTAGCAACGTATGCCTCCGGTTCAACGTCGGAGACTCAACCGTATCGTCCACCTGCCGAGTCATTGACTGAGTCAACTCGCCGGAACCGAACAAATTTAGAATTCACTCATATCTTCCAAATGGGTTATGTACAGGAAGACTTGTTCACCCCAAAAAAAAAGTTTAAAAGAATCAGAAAAGGAGGAAAAGAGGAAAAATTCTTATGGACACAAGATGGAAGTCAAACAAGAATATCCCACTATCCAGCCAGGATTTTTTTATTTTTATTTTTTCAAAACAAAAAGCGACGAAAACAGAGAAATGGCAACAGAAATTCCGGGGGGGAATCAAAAATCCCAAAAAAAGAAAGAAACCGGATTTTTGTTTGTATCTTTCGTTCTAGAGATTTCTGTAATTATGCAGTTCAATAAATAGAAGATGTGGTTTTCCGTATTTTATTAGGGAGAAGAAGAAGAAGAAGTGGTGGTTGAAAGCCCAAAGGGGGGGGCCGAGTGGAAGACGTGTCAGGTGTCGAGAGACGTAAAAGAGGACAGAAATTTAATCGAAAATTCTATTGATGTGAATTTACACGTCAGCGCAAGCACAAACACTCAATCTCACACAGTGTTCAAATTGAATTTGGGAGTCTAGTTGACTACGACTACTATTCCGGTAACTGAATTTCTTTTTTTTTGACAGTTATTCTTTATTCGGGTAATGAAAAATGTTTTCTTTCTAGAATTATCCATTTTTTATTATAAAAACTACCAATAGCCACCCTGTCTGTGAAAGAAATAGCAATCGATTAAAATTGTTGAAAGTTAATCAATTCTAAAATGATACTACTATATAAATATATATGTGTGTGTTTCTAGTGGAACAAGGTCTTAACATTTCCTCAAATTTTATAAATTTTTCTCAATACCGTATTCTATGTCTAAGTATATATAGTTTAATGCAATGTTTTCAAAATTGAAATTTCGCACAAGATCGTTTTGGCGTTTCAAGATCGATCGTATTATGGATCAGTGGGATCGTAACCATTTAAAATATTATAATAATTCTGAAATTGCGAGTTTCAATTTGTTAGTTCAATTCTTGTTTGATTTTATGAACGAGAAGTAGACTCGTGCCCGCATAAGTATCATCGATTCAAAATTTTAACTTTTATATTTTTTCTAATCATTTTCCTCTCTTTTTATACGAAATCAACAATTGGTAGAAATATTGATAAAATCATTAGGATCGAATTTTGAAGGATTTCATAAGATCCCACTACAAAGAAGGATTCTATAAGATCTAGCATTGATTTTCTAATTTTGAATCGTTTGATCGTAAGATCCTAAGATCCGGATCGAGATTTTGAAAACTATGATTCAATGTGATGTACGGTATGTTTTGGGATTGTGAAAACTATATTTATGAGAATAATAGGAAAATGGCGAAATCCATAAAACAAGAAGTGAAGAAAGTAAAATAGGATGATAACAAAATGTAATTATGGAGTTTGGTGATTTGGTAATAATGTTTAAATAAACATATTTTGTATTTTCCGTAATTTTATTTTTTATAAAAAGTGATAAAAGTAATTCTCCTCCTTCTCATAACGTAGGGGGGTTTTTTTTTTTTTTTAATTATTTAATGTTACCCGTCAAACTTGTATTCGGAGACGAATTAAGATCAAAGTATCACATGTACATTGCTATGTTACTTGTTAAAAGTTCGATGAACTTATATACAATTTTTGGCAATTAATTATTGATAAATATTATGGTTGTCTTTATTTCGATTATGTTAGAATTATACAACAAAGAATAATAACATCTAAAAAACCAATACAAGAACAATAATACTAAATAATGACAACAAAAATTGATAATAGGGTAGTTCATTTTTTTAGGACCTCATATATCATAGCCCAATAACTTATTATTAGAAAATAATTTGATAACTTCAATGGTTGTCCAAACATATCATTTAAATGCAACCAATTATTTATTTTACAGTAGTTTTTAAGCTTTTCGTAGTGTCACCATTTTTTTAGTTGTTTTCGCAACTTCTCCTCCTTCATCAATTATAATCTTCTTCTTTTTCCATTTTATGTGCGTGTTTTCATTATGTGTGGAATTTTAAAATTGTTTCACTTGTTCGATTATTTATTATTTTTACTATCAGTTTGTCCATAAAACAAGAAATTAAAACATTCAACGAAATTTAATCATATATTATAATAAAACTTACAATAAAGTTCATAGTTAATATTACTTCTGTGTTAAAAAAATAGTCCATATTGAGTTTTTAAATTTATACTAAAAACAGTACAAAACTTAAAACTCAATGTGAACTATTTTTGTGGATTGAGATAATATTGTTTTGTCATCCTCGAGCCGTCTTTTAACTAAAATATTTCACCAACTCCTGATATAGTATATAGTAACATTTTGTGTTTGGACACAAAATTCCAAAATTTGCCGTTTGACGAAATGGAAATGAGTAAGTAAGTATTCCCTTCATTTCAAAATATAAGTCACTTTAAATTCTGCATGTAAATTAAAAAGACAATCATTTAATAAATAATTTATGTGTTAAATATCTATTTTATCCATCATTAATTATTTTGGAACTATAATGAAGACTGATGAAAAATAATTAGCATCATTTATTAGGGGATAAAGTTAGGAAGTTAACCTTTAATTTGCCTTGAAATCCTAGAACAAACTACATTTTGAAATATTTATCTAAATTTAAAACGATTTATATTTTGAAATGGGGGAGTAGCAAGCATGCGTTAAAAGAATTTGGCTCTTCTAGAAACCAAAAACAAACAATTTTTTTGATAAATAAAACCAAACATTTTCGAATTAAAAAATTATGTTCGTACCAATCGAGTCTTGCAAAACAATTGCTTTTTTTTTTTTAAAAAAAAAAAAGTTACTGTTTTCATTATTTCCTAACAATTATATTAGCTCCCTCCGCCAAAAATTTTGTTTGTTATAAGAAAAGAGTTTAATTCTCCTCAACAGTGTCAATATTAATAAGTTAAACACTTTGATACAAAGTTTTTTTTCCTTCTCATTTCGAGACAGAACATGTGTATATAATTTTTGACAATTGTTAAACTTATATTTCACGTACTGTGAAGCGTGAAAGCATTAAATCTATTGGTCAAGAAAATTAATTAATGAATGTTGTTATCAAAACTGTATCTTGATTCTTGAGGCACTAATAAATGGTTTAGTTTTAGAACCACAACACTAAACGAACAATTATTTCAAAAGAGTTTTTACCAACTTGACATTATTGAAATTCTTTTTTTTTGGTTAAATATTGAAATTCTTTGAAACCCTGCAAGTAAAAGTTCTAATATTTATTTACTTTAATAATGATGTTTTGACTTTAAGCATAGATTATGAACAAGTAACTAAAAGGTGAATTCTAGAAATAATAAGCTGTTTTTGGTACAGTAAACTTACTCCTGTTCTTGAAATGATTGTATTGTACTTCTCTATTTCAAAATATAGGTAAATTTCGATTGAAAAAATATTTTAAAATATTAGTTGTTTTAGGATATCAAAACAGATTAATTACTAATTTTTTAATTTTAGTCTTTTTAATAATTCAATTACACTTGATGAGGATTATAAAAAAATTTTGATACAATAAATTAATTATTAAATGATTTTGTCTTTGATTATTTTTTTTAAAAAAATTAGATGTTCCCCAAGTAAGAATCAAACTCTCGATCTCCCTGTAATAACCATCCCCCATCCTAATTCCCTCACCATCCCACCAACACTCCCACCCGAATTTTGTCTTTAGTTATTAGTTACTCTTTCCGTCTCAAAATTATTGTCCAATTTAGATTTCACCCGAGTGAGTATTAGTTATTGGATACTAGTATATTTATTTTGAGATAAGGGGGAGTTCTAATAATCAGTAGGAGGATTAGTTATTAGTTAGTGACTTTAATTAGTGCCAGAGATCATTAGAAATTTCATAGATTGAGTTCAGTCACTTAAATAAAATACAACTATATTCTACAGGTTTACAAAAAAAGAATGTGACCTCATTGATTTCTCTACACCTAATCTTAAAAAATGGTTTTAAAAGGAGAAAAAAAAAAACACCTTTGGTATAGCACATGTTAATTAATTATAAGAGAGTTAAAGAAAATGATTTCAGAACTTGAACTAAGAATGAACGTCAAGTTAGAAAATCATTTGGATATGGAGTAGTATAAAAGATCTTTTACAGTACTTGGATACAGTTTATCATCCCATCCCGTAATCACTATCCTTTACACACAAAAAAGAAAAACAAAAAATATTACAACGAGTTTGAGACAGGATGATTATAAGATTTACTAGGTTCAACTAGACAATCCTAGAATGAATAAAGGGAGAAAAAGAACAAAATCTCCTTTTCTCGGGTAACTACCAAAATTTTCGACATTGGGAAACATGACAAGATGCCTTTTTGTCCAGGGTCTTTCTTTCCCAAGAAGCAAGCCAAATTCAGATCTATTCTGGGCAACCAATTCAAGCATTTTTGCAAATGGCTTAACGACCAAAATTTCTGAACACTGATATTTTTTAAAGCCAGCAAGAAGAAACCAAGAGCAGAAACAAATCTTGACTAAGATATATATAATGTAATGTGCAAAACTTTTTGGCTGCAGTTTTGGTAGAATGTTACAGGAGCCTTTCCTCGTCAAGTTCATTTCTCCCTTCAGAGATAAAGAACAAAAATCCTACAATAAACAAATCTCTCCTAATGTAGTTCAAAGAAAACGGAAAAATAAAACGGACATACAAAAAACAAGGGGGTTCGGAAACAAAACTTTATTTCCACTGTACGATCCACTGAAGAAGTCGCCTGTTGTTATATTGATTCAGACAACCTGTAGATGCATGGCTGAGGAGCAATACCTTAACCTTTGTAGTTGCCGATAGCAGTTCTGTCAGGTGCTTAGTTTTGTGGGACGGAACTCAGGTTTACTTGCCAATATACCCCAACCAGTGGAGGAAAACTGCCAAAAGCAACATGACAATAGCCAAAATCATTCCCTGTCTTCCTAGAAGCCAATTCTTTGTCTTCTTAACACCTTCCACTCCTCGTTGAAGCCTATCAGCCCATCTCATCTGCAATGGGACATTAAGGATAAAAGTTAAAGGAATATGTGCGAAGTACAGAAAGGAACAGATACTTCTAAAGCCTCATTGCATCTTTGTAGAGTGTCTGCAGCGGATATATACTTCAATATTCATGCCTCCGGGAAAATAGCATGCAAGTATAATTTAATCATAAACGACAAACAAGTTTCTTTTATTCTTTCCCTGAAGCAGATGTTCTCTGTGTATTTTTATTTCATTTCATTTATTCAGTAGGAAGGGTTAGGTGATGCAGAGTCCGTGAACACGACTCTTGTATCAAGAGGAAAACAAAAATGGAACCAGAAATTGTAAAGCAAGCTCCAAGCTACCACGCGAGGAATGAAGTGAATATGATATGCAATAAGAAGAGGATAATGTGAATATGATGGGCAATAAGAAAAACACCATGTTCTCTACACAAATTTAGTAGATGAAATTGAATACTCCGGCAAGACACCACTTGGGTTAAGGATACGTAATGAAAAGATTTTCTGGACAGTAAAATTTCATCTAGATTGTCTCGAAGAAAATGGTTGAACAACATAAGAGACATTTCATACTTCTAAGATGTCTGAAACATGTTCAAACCTAAAGTGCGAATAACTAAACATATTGATAACATAAGAAAATAATGTGAAAACAAGCAAAGTAAAAAGAGGAACTAATGACAACTTAATTCATAGTAAAGCAAGCATACCATTTTATCCAAGTCTTCTGGGGACAAAGATGACATAGCTTGTTGAGCCCTCTCAGCATCCTCCTGGGAAAGCTTCAATCCAAACTGTTCACTCATGTTCTTCATCATGTCTGGGCTGATATTTTTCATCATCGACGTTAACATCTGCACAAATTTTATGAATCAGGTATATCAGTGACATATATCCTCTCTTATATACCAATGCACTATCCAGACTGGGGTGAAAGCAAAAATTCTATCAATTCAGAATTATGTCAAAATCGTAACATGCAAAAGATTGCCATGATCCCTGGTTCCAAGTTCGATGCACTTTTGGAGATAGGAATTCACCAGTCAACAAAGACCGGCAATTCAAAGATAAACACGTCAGCTAAAGTTTTATGTGTGGAAAAGAAGATAGGCACCTGTCTCATAGCTGGATCCTTCATTTGATTTCTCATTTGTTCTTGCAGATCAGCACCTGAACTTGGTATGCTCTGAGAAGGTCTTGTGCTTGAAAGACGCTGGGAGCCACTAGTACTTTCACCAACATCATTATCACTAACTCTAAAATTGTCTCGAGAATCTCGCGATTTTGACGGATAATCTTGACTCCCAGCTTTTGCAGCCGCAGATGATGATGCTCCATTACCTCCTCTCAAGGATGAAGCCATCTCAGTCATCCGTTGTATATCCTCTGGTGACATCTTAGTCATCATATCCGTTGCCATCTTAAGCATGTCAGGTGAAACATTAGTTGGAACTGAACCGGGAGTGAAACTGTTGCCACTCGAGTCAGAGGAACCTCTATTCAGGAAAGGGTTCTCTCCTTGGAATGAGGAAGCTAACTTAATCATCCTTTGAAGTTCTTCAGGAGACATCTTGCCAATAACATTTGACGCTGTCCTAATCATATCAGGGGATATGCCTTCAGCTTGTCCATTACCCATAGCAGCTAGGGTTTCAGGATCTGTCTGAGAAATAAGGTTCTGGAATGATCTGGACAAATGGAAATCACAGAAGTTGATAATCACGATACAAGATCCTTTCACATATTTAAAATTGACTACACTCAAAGAAGTGGCAATCATGGCCCATACAATATTTGGAAGACTAGACAAAAGGATAATATGATAGAAAAGCACAAAAGAAAGGAGGAAGCATAAAAGGAGAGAAAGGAGACACCAAGATATTTTTAAAAGATCGATTCATCAGCATGTAAATACTTCTGAGTTACATAAAAGTTCTTTTATTAATAAATAATTGAGAAAAAACCATCAAAAAAGCTCCTAAACACATAAAGCCTACAAATATATACGTTCAAATATTTTTTCCTGGGGGGTGTTAAAGCCCAGAAGTTTCTTCTCAAAAAATGAAACTTCTTCCATAATAAATAGGCCAGAGATAAAAGTAGCAGGCATAACCCATTATGAGATCAAGATCCTATCAACAAAATTTTTATGCGAATGAGAATTGAGACTTTCAGCTGACTAATTATTCTACCAAACAATAGATAGTGCCCAAGAGACACCAGCCTCGTGAAGATGTGGTTCAGAATTTACCTGATAGATTCTGGATCAGTTTTCAGAGATTCCAAATACTCTGAGTTGGTAGAAGGCGGACAAACGCGAGCATCCGCTTGAACGCTACAGCTAGCAGTGGTTTCCTTTGGTTTTGAAAAAGATGAATCTACCGGAGACCTTCTGATGCTGGCAGATGAGTTGGTCAGCTCATCTTCAGTTATCTCCTCAATAACCAATCCTACACAGCACAACAAGGAGTTAAGCCAAAGGCATAAAAGAAAAATAATGACCATAGAGCGGCGAACAACTCCAAATATGGCTATCTTTGACTTCTGAGCCACATAATTTAGAGTTTTTAGCAAAATAAACTATATAATTCAGCAAGTTGATGCCACAACGGAGATGAAACCACTGTTTACCTTTATGTGTTCGCCCACCACCTTCTTTCACCAGATTCTCCTTAGCATCCCTATATGAATAATCAGACAACATCAAATTAGAAAGCAGTAGCTTTAAGAACCAACCCGAGAGGAGTCATCCAGTACAACAGAAAGATAAGTCTATCAGGTTACACTTGTCATATTTTTAGTATTCAGAACAATTAGTGATCTTAAGAGCAAGATTGCATACCTTAACACATCAGCAATAATTTCATCATCAGGAGAAACTTCATGTGCTTTAGTCAAGTCTGATACTGCAAGCTGACATGCTTGAAAAGTTAGATATTGAAAGGGTGGAAAAAAGAACGAAAAATCAAGAATCTTGATGTCCAGAGTTCAAATATAGTAACTTACTTCAAATTGTCCCAACGCTTTGTAGGCCTGTCCTCGCCGGTAGAGTGCCTTGACATTTTCTGCATCATATGCCAAAACCTGCAGTATAAACATTAATCAATATTTTAGAGCTTTGACCCAGGGGCTGCAACAAGAATTGACGTCTAAAACAATATGCATCGGTATCTCAAACCTGAAGCCTCAGAGTGGGAATAGTGAGTGCACAGAGATAGTTATAATTTGACCAACTCAAGTAACAGAAAAACTAAATCGAATCCAATTCACAAATAAAAGACAAGCCATACCTCTGAACCTTCTTTTATGCACTCATCATACTGACAAGTTTTCAAATAACAGGACATCAAATTCAGAGAACATGCAGAAAGAAGAGCTCTGCCCTTCGATGGAGGAACCCCTTTCAAGTTATTCTTTGCCTGGAGTCACAGGTAAAGAACAGGAGTCATTATCAAAGGATAGTATAAATTTAAGAATGAAACCCAAGATACAAAAATACGTATATTTTTACTCACAAGTAAATATTTCTGCAAAGCATCTTCATAGTTTCCTTGGTTGTGGAGTTGGTTGCCCTGATATTGTATAAACATCAAAAGATTGAATGAAACTTGAGTTTGCAATATGCATTGAACAAAATACGTATAAAAAACTAAAAATAATTCGCAGGCTATAAAATCTGAGTGGTAAGGCTCAATTTAAAGACCAAGCAATGTAGAACTGGATAAGCAGTTGAATTTTCTTTTATCAATTATCATATTTGCTCAGTCAGAAACAGAATATTCGTGGGTAGGAGACTTGCAATTTGGATGATGGAAACACAATCTCTGGGGTTAAAAACTTAAAATAGTTACCTGTTTCTTCAGCATCTGAGCAGCATTTATTTCATACGTAACCTGCGCATCAAGACGAGCACGCAAACCCGCTATCTCTTCAGGCGATGCATTAGCCATTTTCTCACTAAGTTCAGCCATCTCTTCTGGGCGTGTATGTTTCAACTGTTCAGCGGCAGTTTTTATGTCCTCGGGCCTTAAACTTTTCATGCCTTCAGAAGCCATTCGCAGTAATTCAGGATTAGACATCATCTGCAATACCCATCATCAACTCATTAGTTGTAATCAATCATATAACAGTGCAAGAAACGTCAGCAGATGAGGCACAGCTACAACAAATTAATAGATTAACAATGAAATTTTTCTTTATGGGAAACCCAAATCAGACAAAGAGAACTCTTGAATTTCACAAATTTTGCAGCCTATATGCCAAATTCCTCCTTCTTTGGAAGGCCGAGAATAAACCTAAGAAATCATGTTCAACTACATTGTTTTAACATTATCTTGGGTAGCTAAAGACTTCACAAAGTACCGTTCAATCATTAGTAATATAATTCAACTGGAATAATATGTATGACAATCTACTGCTTACAATCTGATTTTCCACAAGTTATATTCCAAGAAAATAATCAGAAAAAAACAGCCACAACGACATTAGAATGGCATTAGAATACAAATGTCAACAGGACACCCACACACCAAACTTCCAGACTTTAGCATGTATACGAGAGTAATGTCCTGGTCTAGAACTAAGGTACATGAAACTTTAAATCGGAATAGCTTGAACAATCAAAAGCCGATTCTGCAACCTAAAAGCAACACCCATAAACCCGATAAAAGCAATCAAAAGGGCACCCTCGACACTGGACATAGAAACACCGGAACAATTTGTATCGTAATCCAAACGTTTTCAATAAGGGAACATAAAACTCCGAAACTACCTGTTGCTGAATCCGTGCTAACTCGGCCGGGGACATCCGACTCATCTGTTCTTGAGCAATTCTGAACAATTCAGGATCCATCATACCGTTAAACATATTTTCCTTCTATCCCTTTTTCAATCTGATCCCAAATATCCAAACCCTTTATTACTACAATCAAACCCAACAAAAACTACAGCAAAACTACAAAAAAGGGAACTGATTCTCGATATAAGTAAAGACAATTCGTCGAATTTGGAGGAAACTACAGGAGAAAAACTTTTTCCGGGTTTTATTCGGGCTGCCCTTCGCTTTGATCTAGAATGATTTTAACTAATATTTAAATCGGTGAAAACCCATGTGAGACGCCAATACGGAGTTGTTTATGGAAAGGGACAAAATACAAAATAATGGTCTCAGTTGAAAAATTGGTTGGACCGTTTGAAAGGTTGGAGAATAGGAAGAAGAGTCGAATATGCTTCGCCTCCAGGAAACTCTTTTATCATGTGTGTTTTTATAGACTTTTTTCTAGTTGACCAAATCCCGCTCTTGAATTCGTTTTATGTATAGCTTCATGTAGAAAGTTACCATGACTTTGATTTAATTCCTTGATATGTCATACTTTTTCGTCCCAAAATAATTATACTATTTTGTGTTTAAAAGTTTTTCACTACAAATGTACGAAGGCCATGAACTTAATGTAGGTATAAAAGTCTCTTGTGAGTTTTTTATTGTTTATTACCTCCGTCTCAGAAAAATAATAGTTTATATTGAGTTTTCAGATTTGTACTAAAAACAGTACAAAACTCAAAACTCAAAGTGGACTATTTTTTTGGGACGGAGTTAGTATATAATTTTCTATTCAAGTACTTTAGAACTATATCGATTTAAAATTAATGGTATATATATATATATATATATTATATTTTGTGTTGAAATATGATTTTCTAAATTAAGTTGTAATAATATGCATTATGTGTACATCAATCTTTTTAAGTGAGTTTGTGAAAATTTTATATTAATGGTGATAACAATCTTAAACACATAAAGAATTGCTGTTGTTAGTGCAATTACATCAAGGCCAATTCAGCTAAGTTTGTTGCTAGTAGAAAAATTCAATTAGTTTTCGGTAGAAAACAACTATACGTCAAAAGCATAAGTTTAGCTCGTGTTGGACCTTATGTGAGCTAGTTGCGAATTGTGATTAACATGTTTTAGTAACCACCTTGCCTTCAATTAGTTATATATTAAGTTCAAAACACCCAAGAGGTGAACAAAGTGAGTCGAGTCATAAAATGATGACTCTCCATTAAGCTAATACGAATCATCAACTTAATCTAGAAACTCGTTAACTATGTAGCTTTTTTATTAACTATTTTAAAGTAACACTAACACAATTAATATATCAGTTACATACTTACATTTTTTTTCTCATTTTATAATTAAAAAATACAAAATTGTAATTTGATTACTTAACATACAATACAATAAAATCAAAATATTTTTATATTTTCTCGTTAATTGTTATGCATAAAGTTAAAATTTTAACTAATATTCACCATACAAGATTTCTCGAATAAGAACGACATAAAATGATTAAAAATAAAGTACTGGTAAAACAATGCGCGACACAGATAGCGCTTGTACTGATAAAAACTAATTTAAATGAAGTATGGTAATTAAAGTGAGGACTACCAAAACCTCAAAACTATTCTGTAATGATAATATAACTAGATGGATAAGACGCGCTTCGCGCGTACGCATTGTATAATGACGTAATAATAATTATGTAAAGAAAAAATAGTAAGTTACTTTGCTGTCTAACACACTATCTACAAAATGTATTAACAAATTTATCAGAAACAAAAAGTATATACTCAACAAATTGTTATCACTATAACTCTCACTTGTGATTTTAACGGTAGTGACGCATTTTGTCCTGATTGTATGAACAGTAAAAAATAAAATAAAATCAAGTTTCTGTGTCACCAAAAAAAAAAGAATAAAAAAGGAACAACTAAAAAATGAAGGGAAAAGAAAACTAAATTCAAGAAGATAAACATAGAGAGGAATAATGAAAGATGATTAATTCTGATAGACTTGAGAATGAGAGATGAAAATACAAAACTTAAAAGAAACAAAAAACAAAAAAAAACAAAAAAAAAGAAGAGAAGTAACAAAAGCTTACACTCTTTAGAATTATATATAGGTAAATTTAGACTACATGACTTTAGATTTTCTTTTCAATTATAGAACAATTTAAACTATCATTTAGGAATCTATTAAATTCAAAGAAAAGAAGAGAAGAAGAAAAGACATTTTGGAATTTAGAGTGATTATAATCACCGAAACCGTTTTTAGACTAATCATATTCAACTAATAATGAGAAATAATGTTTTGGTAATCTTAAAAATAAAATTAAAGATTGCAAAAACTGAAACCATTTTAGACTGATCAAATCCTCCTAATAATGATTTTTTTGTAATCTTAAAGATAAAAGTTAATGCAAGGGAGATCAAAGGGTCACCATATCTTGTTTGATGTTAAAGGACAATTTATTATCAAAAAAGTAGACATAAGGGAGTACTTTATTAGTATAAATTAAAAGATATTGAGCAGTAAGTGAGATAATAATTGAATAAATTAGAGAAAATGTAAATGTTTTTGTCTAAATTAGATGAGGGACTACAAAAAAAGTAAAAATAAAAAAAATAAACCAAACAAAAAATTAAATGAGGACTATCAAACTTTTAAGGTTATTCTACAATTATAATATAGTATGAATAAGTAGAGTAGAGTAGGAGAGTAGAGTGAAAGAGCAGATATTAATGAGCATGTTACTAATTAATTGTTTGTTAATTGAGATTTCTATTACAGTTTAAACCTTTTCTTCTGCGTGTAGTTTTTTAATGAATGAAACATAGTGGAATTTGAAAATTACCAATTTTGATATTCTAAGATAAATTAATCCATATGTTCTATTCTTAATTAGATACTGTACTTTCTTGTATGGCATTAGTTCAAACAAATGGACTATCTTAATAAGATAAAAGTAATGCTTCATACACTTTCAATTTTATGAATACTCTCCTTTTTCATTTTTTCATTTTTTTTTCGCCCCCAGAGGAGAACAGCTCCATTAGAAATAGCTTATCATGATCCAAAAGGTTGAATTATAGACAACTCCGAATATTGTAGTTTGTTGGTGAAGTTGCATTTTCAGGAGTTCCTTTTCTTTTGGTAATTTAGCTAAGTTACAGCAGAAAGTATTGCCAGTTTCAGCCAACAGAACTTGTCTAAAGAACACTGAAACAGGTTGTAAGTGACCACTTCTTGTTCGAGGGCAACTAAGAGCTATAATAAATCTCTACTTTAGTAAAAGGATATAAAACGAAAGGGCTTTCTTTCAACCAGATGGCACATTTTCTTAACTGGTTGGGGTCTTAATTTTTTTTTCCCACCTTTTCTTGGTGCGGCAATTTCAAAACAATTTCAGCAGTAAAAGAAGGCATTTTATAACTGCCAAAGGCACAAAATATATATATATATAAAATAAAAATAAAAATAATAGAACTGTATGATTTGAAAATCATTTAAAATGTTGTTCTATTCGGACAAGCCATAACATTGTGGAGCCAACTCAGGTAACCACAAGTAATCGACTCTACAAATATTGCGAATGTAGCTATTGTTGGTCCTAACTAATCTATCAAAGATGATGCACTCAGGTTTACTCCGGAACAACACTGAAGAAGGGTGGATCTGCACCGTAAGATCACTTGATAGAATCCTGCCCAAACATAAAGGAAATTAGAGGACTTGTTAGTATGCTACAGGAAGGAGAAGGGCCGAAAGCTGGCAAAGGTGGTTGATTTCAACGCGGCTACATGTGTGATCCAGAGAAAGGAAAAAAGACTACAGGATAGTCTGAGAAAGCTAAGGCAAGGATCGATCTCTACCTGTAGGCACCATCAGGCTGCTTCAAAGCTGCATTGAGAAAAAATGAAGCAGCAAGGCAGCGGCGAAACACTAGCATATCATCTCCACATGAAGTGATTTTGAGGCCCATTTGTTCCACATTTCTCTTTATTTGACTGATAGTGAACATTTGTCATTGCAAGATTTGAAATTGAAGGTGAAATTGCTCGAAGCTTGAAAATGACAAAAACTAAAGACAGGCTATCGATTTCGGAAGAAACTAAAACATTTCAAAAGCACAACCAACAAACTGTTCTTCCAATATCTGGAAAAGAAGAAAGGTCTACCTGTGAACATCACGTGCATGGCTTAAGGAGCGACTGTTGATGAAATTTTCTTTGCACCATGTTCTTAAATTCTTCTCAGCTTTCTCATTATTGTTAGTCAACCTGCTCTTTTCTAAGAATTCAACTGAAGCTCGATATACATTGATCAAAGTCAGATGATCTCCCTCTGGACTTGAGAAGCATTTCAATGCTGTCCGCGACTGCAAACGAGAATTCAGATAATTGTATTTCAAATGACAGTCAGAAAAGACCATGATTTATAATATTTAATGAGATGAGACTTAAACATAAAATAAAGGATCATATTTCTAATACACAGATGAGACGAGAATTAAATATAAAATCAGAGCCTCAAAAAAGATAAAACCTTTAAATTGGAGAAAAGAATATTCCTAGAACTACCTGGCAGAACTTAGTCCCTTCAGTTTATACAAGAAACTCCCACCATAATTATGAAAGACTGACTTAATATTCCACAAACATTTATGCGGATAAAGAAATCATTCATGACAAGCCAAAATAATAAAATGATTCCTAGACTTCTCCCATTTGAAATGCCTCAGGTCAGGATTGAATTCTTATAAACCAAAAACTAATGGAAAAAGTTGAAAGAGTCTTTTAAACCAGCAACTCTTGCAAGACCAGCCAATAATATAACAACCATCACATACCTCTTCCAACTTTTCCCGTGGAGCATAAAATATAGACTCCACTGAAAGCATTGCAATAACTATCAACATTTCTTCTAAGCAATTGAATTGACTTGCAAGAATCAAAGCCTTGGAAAACACAGGTTCAAGGGGCAGCTTGGCCATTTGTTGTCCTATTGGGTCAGTAAGTTTACCATCTTCTGCCAATGCACCCAACAAAAACAATGACTCCAATGATCTGATGATAGAGATCCTGTTAAAGAAGATAACAGATAGAATGTATGTTACAAATTCATCCATTAAGTTTTTAAGATTTCTTTAATGATAAAATGAGTCCAACCTTTTCCTACTTTACAACCCAAAAATTAGAGGACCAAACTCAGTAAAATGAGAATTCCAACTATAAATTCTAGTCTCGTAATGCTCGTGTAAGATGGAATATGCAGCTTATTGAAGTTAATATATTCATAAGCCAGGCAAACGTTAATCAGGGAAACAGTTCAGAAACTAATGCAAGACATATATTAACATCACCACTACAAAAGATAGATAAAGATCAATTAAATCCCACCTAGCTTATTGTAAGAAATAACCCCCACCCCCCAAAAATAAGTAAATAAATAAAAGAAAAAAAAAGAAATATTGATCAATTATCATCCTGAAGATAAAGCATATCTGTAAATGCTAAAGTACAAAATTGAGAGTAAGCACAACAGGCAAACTGTATTTTGCTGTTTCTATACACATTTCATCCAAATCAAACAACCTAACCAGTAGAATAATGAGAACTCAGACCAAAACTATTACTTTAGACTAAAAGGATATCTTTATCATGTTGGAAGTTGTAGAACTATTTCAACCTCCAGAATCAAGTGCATATTGTTTCCCACTGCTAACAGTTCAATCTCACGATACCTGTTTGGTTTGTCTATGAAGTCAAACCCTGCAATATCATCTATTCCCAGAGCCTTCAGCACCAAAATAACATTTGAAAGGTCACATCTTTTGATTTCTGGAGTTGTAGAATCTTCAAATTTACCAAATTCGGATTCTGGATAGAGCCGATAGCATTTCCCAGGTGCTTCACGACCTGCACGTCCACTGTAAGAAACCGGGTTAGTTTTCAAAGCTTGAATGTTCAGGTAACAATCAAGAGGTTACGTGTTCCAAAGAGTATAGATAATGCTTCGGACATCCCAATTGGAATCCAACTCTAAGAGGAAGCAAGCTTCTGCTTGTTTATGAGGACACAAGCAGAAACACTATCAACATAAAATCTACCACCTCCACAAAAATAACATAAAACTATCAACATAGCACATTCATGTATTGAAAAAACACAAGCAGACATTAAAAAAAAGCATTGTATCAGCATAAAGAATAAAAAACAGTTATGCTCATACGATAAAAAAAGGAGTCACAAATTTTACCTCCTCTGAAGAGCCTGTGCTTTTGAGGTCTTCACTATATCCAAAGATTCGATCCCTGTATCTGGATCATATGTACGTGCTTTCACAACTCCAGGATCGATAACATACCTTATCCCAGGTATAGTTACTGATGTCTCAGCAATATTAGTTGCCAATATTACCTAAACGTCCAAGAACTGAATTAATAACTGATGAAGGATATTATTTCCTCTTCATGGAAACAGAACTGGCATTCAGAAGTCTACCAAGACTTATATGTGGTAGGTTTTAGATGAAAGAAATCCCAGACAAAATAGAGACCCTAGATCTATGATTTATCAAATATTTGAAAATTAGTAAAATGGATATAAAGCCATTAAAAAGAGATGTACTTTTCCCAAGAAAATGCATCATTAACTTTGATGTCTAACTAATTCAACGCAAAGATGTGATTGAATTTGTCCAAGTGCAATGGGTTCCAAACACATGAAAAAGTCAAAATCAAAAAGCATCCAAAAGGCAAATTTACATCAAACACACAATCAGAATTTCAATCTACCTTTCGCACCCCAGGAGGTGCAAGCCTAAACACTTTGTTTTGTTTTTCTGATGGAAGAGATGAAAATATTGGACATGTCAAAAGCTTCCGATTTCCTTCAGGTAATTGCCGAAGGCGCTCATGAATTAGTCTCTCAACAGATTCAATCTCTTCTTGCCCAGTCAGAAAGACAAGTATATCACCATCCCTTTCTTCCAAATGGATCTGATAAACATATAGAAAGAAAGCTTTAGTGACAGCATTTGAAAGGCATCCATGAGAGTGAGAGAAGTCAAACTATATGCCCCACATCAAATGAGCAGACCATACTGACACAGTACATTGTAGCAGGAATCATATATCTTCAACACGGAACAAATATATTAGGCTTAGGGACGAACTGGCAATGAATACAGATAAATGTAAAAGTGGAAATAAGGGAAATGCAAGCCCAGCCAAAATATTTCCCTGAGTTACGGACAAACATGGGCACAGATCGATCACACTGATATAGCTCATAGATTTCAGAAGTGGATCAAAGAACTAATTGAGCAGAAGATTTATTCGCAACCAAGGAAAAGACCAAAAAGCAACCTGAAATATAGTAATCAAAGCTGCATCAACATAATCTGTCTCAGGTTGAAGTGTGTATAATAAATCGACTGGATATTGACGGCCTTGAATATGAACAGCTCTTGCACCACCAAAATACTCAGAAAATCCTCGTGCATCCAGACTGGCAGACATAATTATTAACTTTAATGGAGATAGCCTTTTGCCGTGGCATGGCTTTAAGAATGTAGAACCGGGACCATCATGCTCAGCGACCTCTTGCAACCCATTCTTTAGCGAGTTTGCATTATTGATGTTTAAAGCTTTATTGGCAAATTTGGATCTCTTTTCCTTCACACTCTTCAACAGACCGAGCAACACATCCGTGTGAACAGTTCTCTCATGAGCCTCATCAACTATAATAACTGAATACTTAGAGAGATATGGGTCCAGTAATGCTTCCCTGTAACCACAAGCAACCCTTGTCAACTTACAGCAAGCTGACATCTTAGTGAAAAATTTAGGGCTTACAAATGCTAAGTAGTTATTGACTTATTCCTGTCAGTTTGTGCTGAATTAAAGTTATGGATTTAGATATTCAATATTAAGAAAACCCTGAAACATATCCTGAACGTTTATTCAGAAGCAAACACTATAAATCATTAAGTACTCTAACCAGCTATTCCAAGTACACACCTCAGTAGTAATCCATCTGTCATATACTTTATCATTGTTGAGGAAGAGGTCACATCTTCAAAACGAATAGCATAACCAACCTTTTGACCCACAGCAACACCACATTCCTCAGCAACTCGCTTTGCAACAGATACAGCAGCAACACGTCTAGGTTGAGTTATCCCAATGACCCCACCCTCACGGCAGAATCCACCATAATAGAGATATTGAGGTAATTCTGCACAAAGTTTGACAAATCCTTTACTTAACAAGAGGAATAATGGGAAGTGCAGATTAATGTTTCTAACAGAAATCAACTGAACAAGTGTTTTAAATAGTTGTTCGACATCGGAATTTCAAATATTCAAATTGATAATCTAAATCTAGCCAAAAGGTCAGTTAGCAAATCCATAATTATGCTTTAATAGAGAGAAACCTTGTACAACAAAGGATTCTTATAAAGGCACAGGAGTACAAGTGTTAATCTACGTCATAACAGTACGCAATTACAAAATAAGAACGAAAGTATGCATATTTGACTATCCAAATACAATATCCTCCATGAAGAACATGATATTTATCATGAAGACACTTTTAGGATTCCAACAAATAAACATTTAAGTCAGAACATGATATGGTAGTTGGGGCAATGAGTTGATCAGCAGCCATAATAGCAAGAAAAAACCACAACGCAAGATTAGGGTTTACATTTCCTAGACAAAATGTAGAATTTTAAGCTTGGTTAAGATTGATTAATGTTTCATAAGTACGGAACTTACGTGTTGTTTTGCCACTCCCAGTCTCACCTACAATTATCAGTGTGTCATTGTTTTTAACCTCTTCCACAAGGCGTTTTTCAACTGAAAAGAAAACATAAAAAAGATCATGATCAGTATGCATTTTATTCCAGAGAATGATTTTCCATAACCAATCGGTTCAAAGTTACAAAGCAATTAGATCTTTTACACAACCAAGAAGCAAAAGAGTAATTAATTAAATCCACAGCTGCATTTCCAAAGCATATGAATTACGAAGCCAAATACATGGGTTAACAGATAAACAAAAAAGATTGAAGGGAGGAAGTCCATAAACCATGCGAGGAACACTTACACTACTAACAATTCACATGAATGGCAAATGCAACAAAATTTTTCATAAGTTGACTGTATCATACAACTAGTACACCTCTTGACCTCCTAACACATGAAGAACTTAGCACCTAACAGCCAAACCAACTATCATTCTAAAATCATACTCCAGAGAGGTTATTCAGATGAAAGGAGAGGGGGGGACAACAATGCAAAACAAAACAAACAAAAAGAGGAAAGCAAAATTTGAACCACAGATGGATGATAAAATGCAGTTATGGTCTCTCAACTTTCAAGCCTGACACTTTTGGCCCATTATCTCTCGAATTCCAGACTGGTTTGGACAGCTCACAGCTACTTGGGAAAGTCAACACATCTCGTCGCACGTTTGGCATAAAAACCTAGGCTAAAACTACTTCAAAAAAATCAACTCAACAAAGCATAGAGTAGAGAATAATCGGCGACTACTCAACCCTCACTCATTCCAAAAATCTCCGTTCGTAGCTCTTCATCAGACCAATAATAACTTCAGAAAATAAACATTTAGGATCCTCACAACATTTAATCTTGGTTGGTGACTCACAAAGTACAGACTAAAGGCCCTAAGTTTTCCTAATTATGCTAGAATCCGAACTATAAGAGACTGCTGACCTATAGGTTTAAAAAAGAAGCTAATAAAAATACTGCACTGGAGATAACGATTAAGGAGATAGCTGCCCTTTCCTAATGCAATAAATATTTTAAGTTGAAATCAATATTCGAATGGGAAAAGTAGGTCCAAAAGCTTTATAGAAAGCAAATGAACTGACCAAAGAGGTCGACACAATGTTAAACTAACGTAGTAACAAGCAGGTTTACAGCACTATCCAACAAAAAAAACAATTGTAATACCTGCAGCTATTGGTAGCGATTTTCTCTGTTCCTTTATCTTCTGCCGCCTGCAACAGTAAAAAGTATAACCCTGGCGTTCGTTAATATGAATGTACAGGACATGGGTATGTGAACACATGTTTTAGAGTAGCAAACCTCGTGGGGTCAAATTTGGCCTCATTTTGGAAATTACCATTGCTAGTACGAAAATTTTGTGTAGCCATCGAAGGCATGTTCTGCAAACCTAAACAGATTATGAACATGAAGGTAAGTTTTTTTCTGTACGATGCATGGTGAAATCTGATGCTCCAAACATCAAGAGCAATACAAACAAGCAATGCATCTCATTTGAAAATCATGAATGTTTTCCACTCAACTAAACTAAAATTTCTATCCTTCCACCTCCACACACCAAGTTACAAGAAGGGTTTTCTACTGTCATCCCATCATTGCTCAAATAACAGAAAGCAAGCTAAACACATATTAAGGGACCATATAACAGTACTAAAGAAGGTGAAATTACGAAATAAAAAATAAAAAACGAAACTCCACTTGAATTGAATCTCACTTACAACGATACCAGACAGTCGTGAAGGATAAAAAACGTATTTCTGAATTCTAATTTGCTTCAATTTTTTCCCAGAAACACCAGAGAAGCCGTAATGAAAGAGCCTTTGAAGTTGCGGCCGCCAGTAAGAAGAACTGAGAGGCTGAGCCGCCGTTGAATGATTAAAGCTTAGAGAACAACGGTTTCATCATTATCAGGACAGAAAGACGAGAAAAACGTCACCGTTTTGTTACCTGTAACGGGCCAAAACCTGAAAATAGAAGGGTTTTACAAAGGTTTTAATGAAAACCTCGCGGGTGTAATAGTCGGGTTAAATCAGTGAAATTCGGGTTATTACATTAAATGGGTTAATTTGCCCTAAAGTTAGTCTAAAAGACAATTTATTCCTTGGTCTTTTAATCTATAACGGCGGGTGAAGGCGGCTTCCTTCATCTTTTCTTTCCCTTCAGACGACCAGGGAAATCGGAATTGCCGACCTTCCTTCTTCACAGGTCTTCATCAATACTTGAATCTCAGGTACGAATTAATTTGTTAGCATTTACTGGATTTGGGATAGTCTTGTTGGAAGTAGAAGTGTTTGGAACTTGATAGAACCTATGCAATTTCTGGGATGATCTTGTGTTGGTTTGATGTGTTTGAAATGGGTTGATTCTGGTGTACTTTTTAATCTTTTATAAGGTAGCCAAGATGGGCGTGTCATGGTTTAGAAGTGTCTTTGAGCTTCAACATCATAAAATAAAATTTCGGATTGAAAAAAGGGTCATTAGCTGGGGTTAGAAAGGTTAGGATGCCTTGTTGAAAAGAATGGAGGGAAGATTTTGGTACCGTATCATAGAATATCCAACTTTTGAGCTTCATGCTCGGTTTCAGTAAGGGTGTTTAGTATTATTATTTTTTGTTTTTCTTCCTCTTTCTGTTGGGCTTTGGGTTTGTGTTCTGCATTTTGCATTGGAGTTCGTTAATTTGTTTGTTTGTTAACTCTTTCAATGCTGGTCTCCCGCTTAAGGTGTGAATTCTGGAGTTAGTTTTCTTTTAAAAAAAGTTCAAATTATTTCTTTTGTTCTGATGAATTGCAGCTTTTTTTTTTTTTTTTTTTTCTCTCTCTTAGTTGTGTTTCTGTTTGCATTTTCCTTTTCCATGGCACTTAAAATTTCCGTTTAGGTTTATGATGCTCATGTTAGGAAATTGCTTCAAGAGTTGTTAGGATTGTTTCCATCTTTTGCTTTCTCTCTGTTTTTTTGTTTGTTTTCTAGATTATGCACTTGTTACAGACTTACAGTCTCTTAAAAATCTATTTGGACTCTAGTGATCGCTCCCCGTAGTTGCTACTTATGTTTTCGATATTTGTTTCTCAACCATTTTCATTGTTGGCATGTTGAATGATTTCTGATTTTATCACAGGTGCATTACAAATTAAATTTTATATCGCAAGGCAATCTTCATAGAGCCACATCATAATTACAAGTGAGTTTATTTCCTTCTTGTACTGTAGGGTTTATTATCGAAGAGATAGCTTGAAGGCTAGCCAACTAACTTGTTCACAAGTATCAGAAGGTCTCCTACCGATTCATCTTTATCAAAGTTACCAGCGATAGTTTTGCAGATTGTTGGAAGTAAAGAAATGGGTGAGTTTGAACGTGAAAAGATTAGAAACATCTGCATTCTGGCTCACGTGGATCATGGGAAGACCACGTTGGCTGACCATCTGATTGCTTCTTATGGAGGTGGAGTACTCCACCCGAAGCAAGCTGGCAGGCTCAGATTTATGGACTACTTAGATGAGGAGCAGAGGCGGGCAATTACAATGAAGAGTTCTTCTATAGCACTTCAGTATAAGGAACATTCTATTAATCTCATTGATTCTCCAGGTCATATGGATTTTTGCAGTGAGGTTTCAACGGCAGCTAGATTGAGTGATGGGGCTTTAGTATTAGTTGATGCTGTTGAGGGAGTTCATATTCAAACCCATGCTGTCTTACGTCAAGCTTGGATTGAAAAACTCACGCCATGTTTGGTTTTGAATAAGATTGACAGACTGATTTCTGAGTTAAAATTGAGTCCGATGGAAGCATTCACTCGGTTGCAAAGGATTGTTCACGAGGTTAATGGAATTGTGAGCACTTTTAAATCTGAAAAGTATCTATCAGATGTTGACGCACTTTTGTCGGCACCATCTGGTGAACAAGGTGAGCAAGGTGGTGACGACTTTGAGTTCATTGAAGATGATGAGGAGGACACTTTTCAACCGCAGAAGGGTAATGTTGCATTTGTCTGTGCACTGGATGGTTGGGGATTTAGCATTTTGGATTTTGCAGAGTTTTATGCTTCCAAACTTGGGGCTAGCTCTGCTGCATTGCAAAGAGCTCTATGGGGACCTTGGTATTACAATGCTAAGACTAAGAAGATCGTCGGCAGAAAGGGAATCAGTGCTGGGACTAAGGCTAGGCCCATGTTTGTTCAATGTATATTAGAGCCACTGTGGCAAGTTTACCAGGCTGCTCTAGATGAAGATGGCGATAGGGGGGTTCTTGAGAAAGTTATTAAGAACTTTAATTTGTCGATACCTCCTCGTGAACTGCAGAATAAAGACCCAAAGGCTGTTCTTCAGTCTGTCATGAGCCGTTGGATTCCATTGTCAGACACTATATTATCAATTGTTGTTAAGCACATGCCTAACCCTGTTACTGCCCAGTCTTTCCGGATATCTCGTTTGCTTCCTGAAAGAGTAATATTGGAAAATGTCGGTAATTCAAAGGTCCTTGCTGAAGCAGAGCTTGTCAGGAAAGCTGTGGAGTCTTGTGATTGCAGAAGTGATGCGCCATGTGTTGCTTTTGTTTCTAAAATGTTTGCAATACCGTCAAAGATGCTTCCTCGGGAAGAGATTTACCATACTGATGATAGTAATGGGAATTCTGAAGAATGTTTTCTTGCATTTGCAAGGGTCTTCAGTGGAGTTCTACACTCGCAACAGACAGTGTTTGTGCTTTCAGCTTTATACAATCCATTGGAGGGGGAATCAATGCAGAAGCATGTGCAGGAAGTGGAGCTTCAGTCTTTGTATATGATGATGGGCCAGGGCTTGAAACCTGTTGCATCTGCTAAAGCTGGGAATGTTGTTGCCATTAGAGGTCTTGCCCAAAATATAGTGAAAAGTGCAACTCTTTCAACCACAAAAAGCTGTTGGCCATTCTCTAGTATGGTTTTCCAAGTTGCACCTACTCTAAAGGTAGCTATTGAGCCTTCAGATCCTTCTGATATGGGTGCTCTCACGCAGGGGTTAAAACTTTTGAACCGTGCTGATCCATTTGTGGAGGTCACAATGACTTCTAGGGGTGAAAACGTCCTTGCTGCAGCAGGGGAAGTTCATCTTGAAAGATGTATCAAAGATTTGAAGGAAAGATTTGCAAAAGTAAGCTTGGAAGTATCGCCCCCACTTGTCTCATATAAAGAGACAATTGAAGGTGAAATAAGTAATCCATTGGACAATCTGAAAGTATTGAGTGGTAGTTCTGAGTTTGTTGAGAAAACTACACCCAGTGGAAGGTGTGTTATTCGGGTGCATGTGATGAAGCTTCCAGATGCTCTCACTAAGCTACTTCATGACAGTTCTGACCTACTCAGAGATATTATTGGGGGTAAGTCAGGCCAGGCTTGTAAGAGTTTGGAAAGTTTGAGAGGTAGCATTGTGGAAGACGAAAATCCCATTGAAGCATTAAAGAAGCGCATAATAGATGCTGTGGAGAGTGGTTATTCATATGGGGACGCGGAGATAGATAAACACCGAGCTGAGAAATATAGATTGTTGTGGGAAAAGCTTTTGAAGAGGATCTGGGCATTAGGGCCTAGACAAGTAGGACCTAACCTTCTGCTTACTCCAGATTTGAGGGATAAGAATGATGATAACTCTGTTCTGGTCAATGGGCACCCTTCTGTGTCTGAAAAGTTGGGTTTTCTAGATTCCTCTGAACCAAAGGATACAATTTCGGATGTTTCATCTGTAACAGATCAAGCCTTGTTGATTGAAGCAAAGAATCTTGAGAGCAGCGTGCTCGCGGGATTTCAGGAAGCTACTGCTGCTGGGCCATTGTGTGATGAACCTATGTGGGGTTTGGCCTTTGTGGTTGAGGCCTATGTTTCTTCGCTATCAGAGCAATCAAATGAATCATATGTTCCTGTTCAACAATCGGACCATTATGGCATTACTGGACAGGTGATGACTGCTGTTAGGGATGCTTGCAGGACGGCTTTACTCCAAAGAAAACCAAGACTCGTGGAAGGAATGTATTTTTGTGAGTTGAACACGCCAACTGAGCAATTGGGCCACATGTATGCAGTATTATCAAGGAGGCGTGCCCGAGTTGTTAAGGAGGAAATGAATGAAGGGTCCCCATTATTTACTGTGCATGCATATGTGCCTGTAGCTGAGAGCTTTGGGTTTGCCGACGAGCTTAGGAGATGGACATCTGGTGCTGCAAGTGCCCTACTTGTTCTTAGTCACTGGGAAGCACTTCCGGACGATCCTTTCTTTGTTCCAAAAACTGAAGAGGAGATAGAAGAGTTTGGAGATGGTTCCAGTGTACCGCGCAATACAGCAAGGAAACTTATTGATGCTGTAAGACGTAGGAAAGGTCTTCCCGTGGAAGAAAAAGTTGTTCAGCACGCAACAAAGCAGAGGACTTTAGCACGTAAGGTATAGCTGATGTTTGGATTGCCTTACACTAAATTTTGTAACACACATATATTTACACTCTTGCCATTTGATCAAAGGACGAGAATTGTGGGAACATGATTCTTTCCTTGGTTGGATGGTTTTAATAGGGAAGTTGTATTATTATATCATCAATACTATCCAAACATACTTACCAATTAAAAAGGAGATTAGTGGGAGCCATATTACTGTTCGCTTTGCCATTGTAGTTAACGATTCTTGCTCCATCCGATAATACTAGCTCAAGAAACATGACTCTTTTTATTGGACAGAGGTCAGAGCCAGTATATCTTTTGAGAAAACTATCAAGGTGAATCAGTACTCCCGCTGTATATTTGCTGATTTTCTGAATACTTTTGCATCTATCTTATTTTTCGGCAGCAAGGGTTTAGAAATTCATGAAGAATGCATTTTAGTTCATGGAAGTATGGAACTGATGTTGCAATGATGTTGTTATTCTGATGTGTTTTCAAGGAAGAAAACATATCTTGGTTTCTTTAACCTTAACTTTAGGGGTAAGAAAATATGCAGACTGCTAATTCTAACCTAGGAGATGATCTTGACCGTGAAAGAGAAGGAAGTGTGTAAAAAAATTTGCAATAATGATTCCTTCTCTAATTCCTTTCTTTTCGAAAGCCATGTTTTTACGATCTTAATGCTATTTTGACATTTTTACTGCACATTTTATCTCCGAAGAGCTTTTCAGGAAAATTCCCGGAAATTTTCACCCGAGAAACTTCAATTAAAGCATGTAGAAATGAATAGGTTGATACACGAGATTTTGAGTAGCTTACAGATTACATATCCAATGCAGTCAAGGATACTGCATTGCCAACACTAAACAGAAAACCTACACATGACATTTCTCACAAGGTTATCATACTAAAAAAAGAGTTCAACTCTTCAACTGAGTTAGTTATTTGGTGAAAACTCTCTCCTAGTTTCTCCGATACCGAGCATGACGAATGACATGAGATTTCCTCCAACAAATTCGATGTCCTGCTTGTTGCTTCAGATTTAGCTCTCTTTAAATCGTCCAATTTAGTTGATTCAGCTTGCAAATCTTCTTCCAGGACCCTAATCTCTTCCTCCTTTAGTTCAGTTTCAAACAAGCATTGATGATAGTCAAGGATCATTGCCTCAAATTCATTCCTTCCATTTTCTTCCATGTCCAATATCATGTTCTTTTCGTTGATGATGCTCTGAACCTTGTGATCCAACTCTTCGACCGATGGCAAAGCATTTTCTATCTCATGTTTGGTACTCTGAATCTCCAAATCCAATTTCCTTAGTTTCTTGTTCATCTCCTCAATTTCCTTCCTTGTGGCCCCGAGCTTTTCTAGACTCTGCTTGATTTGATTTTGGAGCTTTGTCTTCTGCTCCTCTGACTTCAGAAGCTCAGTCGCTTTACCAGTAAAATGCCAATTCTGCGAGGAACGGTTATCTGTTTGCTCAACGTTCTCTATGGCAAAAAGAACCCTCTCATTATCAATCCTTTGGGTTTCTTCCTCCTCTTTTAGCTTCAGGCGTGCTATCTCGTTTTTCAATTCAACTTCAGATTGTTTCATTTTCATTTGTGCAGCCAGAGTTTCATCCTTGCAGACTTGAATTCGGACCAATTCTTCTTTCTTCTGATTCAGAGAGGCGGATGAAGCATTCATTCTCTCCCTTGCATGACGTTCACGTTGCTCAAAATACTTGATTGATGAAGAGAAATTTGACAAAGAATACCTCAATGCTGTCAACTTTCTGTCAAGAATGATTTTCTTCTCGTGCATTTCATAATAAAGAACTTTGCAAGATGCATACTCCTGTTGCTTGACCCGAGATCCAGATTCAATTCTCTCAATTTCTTCTGAGAGCTCATTAACTTCAAGGATTGCTTTCTCAAGCAAAGCAAATGTTGTTATAATTTGGGAAGAATCTAAAAGCTTCTCTTGTGCTTCAACAAGCTTCTTTCTCAACAAACTCAAATCTTCTGGCAAGCAAGCAGCTGCATGTAATGATGTTGAGTCTGTCTTTGAATGAAAATGGGCATCCTGAGGTTCAGCTGATGCTTCTACCATAAGAATATCCATTCCTGATGCTTCAGGTTCATTTATAACAGCAGCATCAACTAGACCTTGTGGACCGTCCTCTAATTGGTTATTATCTACAGAATCAACTCGGAGTGGAGATCCAACAGTCTGGGCACTGTCCTGTCTGCGAAGACAAACCTCACAGAGTCCATCTTCCACACTTACTTCATACAAGTTAGTTTCCATTGGCATGTCAATTGCATCACAAGAAATAGACGAGTCTGCTGGATCAAGATCACCACTCTCCCTGCATTCTTCAAAGAAGGCACCACTGAAATTTTCATCAGATTGCGATTCTTTGACTCCATACATTACAACAAGCTTTTCTGGGCAGTTGAATTCAACTCTCATTCCATTCATATTTTGTTCATTGGAGACAACAACTCTTTTGAGTTCATCTTTCTCTTGCATGGCTTTTTCATACAAACCCATCAATTTATCATTTTCTTCATGCATTTCCTGCAGCTGATGCTTTAAGTTATCGATTTCTTTTTCCATTTGCAAGTGCTCCTCCTGATCTTTATGGTAATGGTAGGTTTCTTCTTCCGACCTCTGTTCTTTAGTAACTCGAGCTCCCTTGCTACCATTATGATTTTCTTCAACTGCCCCTTCATATAATTCGATCAGTCTATTGTTGTCTTCAATCATAACTTTCAGCTTCATCTTAAGTTCGTCATTTTCTTTGGATAAGAAAATAGCCGTTTCATGAGCTTCTGCTTCCCTCTGGCTTGCAGCTGCAATTGCATCAACTATTGTTTGTAGTTCTTTTTGATCAGCTGGAGCAGTGCTGGGCATCTGATTTTTATTAAGTGAATGAAGCCCACTTGTCTTTGCCTCTTCAATTTCGGCAGCTCTAGAAGATTTCTCCACTTCTAGTTGTGTTAGCAAATCGTTAACATGCCTACAAGAATTTGTAATCAGACAAGTTATTTGCTAATTAATATCTATTAAACATTAAATTGAACATGAACAACTAATCCGGTGGCTAAGGGGTATCTAGGTTTAAATTACGCAATCTGCACCATAAACCAATCCTCAGGTGAAAAGAGATAGCTGGCAGATCAACTCCAGTATATCAAACCACGTACCTTTGCAATTTCTCTTTCTCTTCAACGCAAGAGTTGAGCTTCTTGTGAAGAGAATCCAGTTCTGATTGGTTCTGAATGGCCTGAGATAATACAAGCGAAATTTGTGATTAAGCAAAAAGAAGTTTAACACACATCTAGGCCACTTCTAGTGTATGCTAATGGACATGCCAAAATAAAAAAGGAAAAAAAAAATTTCTGAGAGATAGTGCTTAAAGAAGTACCTGCATCCGAAGGAACTCATTCTCCTCATTCATTGATGTACGCCATGGTGATGCCTGAAACGGAAATATATCACCCATTATATTCAACTTAATAATTTTCAATTCAAATATGCTTTTCCGCATCAGTTTATACTATCAAACCAAAACTATGACGAACATAGCACAGCAATTCTTCTAACTATACCTATACTTTAGTTATATTAGTACCTAAGTGCCCCAAAAGAACAAACACTAGGTTCATGTTCTCAATAAAATCCAGGTCAGAATTAAGAAAAGAAAAACTGAAAACATGAATGAATTTCATAGCAGTGAGTAGTGCAATATGGCTTACTTGACTGGATAGCAGGAAGTCATCTCCACTTGGTGCGGTCAGCTCAGAATTCTCTTTCTATAAGGCAGTCAAAAAAATGTCAGTTCAATAATACATCTTACGAGGAAACCCCATCCTCCATCAAAAAGTAAAAACAGCCAGGTTGATGAAGGTGTTGAAAGAACCTGAACTATCACAGGGTCTGATTCATGCATGAGTTTCCAATCAAGAGCTTCAAGCAACTGCATTTAGAAGGTAGCTGAATCACTAGGATATTCAAAGGTGATTTGAAGTGCCATGATAAAGTAATAAGTTTTAATTGCCATGCAAGTAACATTCTTCCTAGAGAAACTGTTGGAAGGAAAAACATTTGTTGCAACACGAGTCGGAAGCTATTTTCTACTTCTTCCATTTCAAGTATACATCAATTAGTATTAACGACAAGATGATACTAGCAGGTCAAAATGGAATATAGACAAGAGCATGAGGAAAATGAAACTCAAAATCAAATGCCACCTTCTGCAAATAATTTCAATTTTCAGAAGCCCTTTGCTTCTCGATACAGAAAAAAAAGTGAAAAATTAGTTCATTAACCTAATGCCAGATATGCAAAATCGTCATTTGAGCTGAAAATCTCCTGAAAATATTGTCTTTCAAGTAATGCTATTAAAGTCTTTGAGATGTAAAGAACCACAAACATAAGAGCAGCAATATATAGATATGAGAAAAATTAAGGATTCACCTTGTTCTGTAATGTCACTATCTGCTCATTCATTCTTTCACGTTCTCCTTCCTCACAAAATGATTTCAGTCTGCATTGTGAAAAAAGGACACTTTGAAATCAATATGTTCAGAGAAATGTAACACAGGAAAAGGAATTGATCCTCAAACCATATAAGGCAAGGATTGTGTAAAATTAATGGATGCTCAGCACACTGAGTGATTAACTGTACCATTAAGTTGTAGTTAGGAGTTTCAATTTATCCTAGTAGCTATGACTGACCTACTAACAGAAAAATATTTATTTGATGCAAAGTTCAAAATAGTTTTCATATGATAATTACATCAACTTTCCAAATAAGTTAGTATAGAAACATGCAGTCATAGTTCAGATTTGGTTTGAATTTAAAACTGAGGACAGCTGCTAAAGCAACTTAATTATTATGGCTCAAGATTGCTGACTAAGTTGAAAACTGTATACAAGCTCTTTGAAATTGAACTTTAGATGAGAATTGGTTCAATAAATCAAGAGAACAAAAAAGAAGCACACCTTCTAATCTCTTCTTTCAAGCGCAGGTTTTCCATAGCAAACCTTGTGACCTCCTGATTGCGATCAACCTGAGTGCTTAAGACCTCTATTTCCTTCAAATGCTCCTCCCTTTCTTTAAGCAAGTGGGTTTCAGCTGAAATCTTTCCAGAAGCAATAGCTTCGAGTCTCTTTATTCCAGCTTCTCGAAATCTCAATCTCATCTTCAAGCTTTTAATCTCATCCTCTCTTTGTTTAGCCTGATTACAACATTTGAGTTTCAGTTAGAACTTAAGAAACGAACATGTCGCCATTGTCAATGTCATAATTTTCCATGAAGACGTACACATGTAACTCAGAACTTTGAAATATAATACAGAAACATGATATGCCTATAATACATGATTTCTAAAGTTAAAGAAATGATACACTAAAGAGGCTTTTCAAAGTATTGAAACAGTTTGTTCCCATTTTCTCTGAATTTCACCTATAAAACATGAGTTTAACTACCAGATTTTTTTGGAAAAACATCCCATATTTCCAATGGAAAGGTTTATTCTGAAAACATACCAGCTTCGATGCAGCTTGGCTTTCAGCGGTCATTGCCTTTAGTGCAATGTCTTTCTCCTTCTCCCTCCTAAATGCCCCAACTAGAGCAACTTCATACTCTTTCTTCTGAAATATGAGCTACACTTTTAGTATTTAAAATTTGTAGTGCTTTTCAGTATGATGATAAAGTACTAACATGTGTTATCTTTTTTGCAGAAGCAAGAGGACTAGACAACCCTTGGAGTCCTTCCCATTTAAAGGATCCAGGAGATCCAGGACACGCTGCTGCAAGGGTATCAAATTCATTGTGCTCAGCTCCTCCATTAACGAGACTCCTCAAGCGTGATACTTCTTTCTGAGAAGTTTCAGAAACACGTTATAAGATTTACTAAACCTTAAGCAAATCTGTTTTTTCAAGTATTAACAATCACATTGCTTTACATCTAGAGGAATAAACGGCTGTATCATAGATCCGGGTTGCTCTTTGTTCTCAGCATGAGAGCACAGGCCAGCAGGATTTATGATAGAGACACAGCATCAACTTTAAACGATCTAAGTTCACGAGGAAATTATGCCTTACAATCGGGCAATGGCTTTTATAAAAATGCCGAATAATCTCCCAAGAAGAAGAATGACTTAGCAGTTACAGCCTTCCATTACCTTTAAATTTTGGATCTGTATCCTCATGGCAAGAACATCTCCCGAAGCATCTTCATTTACAATAGCCTGGTTCATTAACAAAATGAGAGTGAAAAAACAGAAAATAGAAATTGTCTATCTTAGTTAGCCACATTATCTTATCTTACTGTATTTAACTTGTACCCTGATTTTGTTAACCGATAGCTCTTCACTAAGTCCAGAAAACTAATCAATCGATAGTCTCTATAACTTTTTCAATTTCTCTAGTCTCTATAACTTTTTCAATTTCTCCTTTCGCTCATGAAATCAATAATAATCTGAGTATTCTAAAGAGCTTAGTGAGACATGCTTTCTCATGAAATCAATAATAGTCTGGGCATTCTGAAGAACTTAATGAGACATGCTTTCTCATGAAATCAATAATAGTCTTAAGTATTTCTCCACTCAAATCAGAACTTTATTTTAGTTTTAGAAGTTAACAAATTGTATACCAATCACATTCTGTTTTTTCTTTTGAGGCCATATGTTTCTAGAACTAAAGTTTTCTACATCCAGGATGGCATGAAATAATTTGTGAAATGGCTTCTATTCAATCCTTTGAAACTTAGGAAGTTGATTCACTTGGGTAAAGGCTGTTGGTTTGGATTGGGTTTTATACTTTTTGGGATGATCCTGATGGCAAAATTGATCTGCTAAAAAGCATGTCTGCCAGAGGCTATACTTAATTCTCATCTACCATGACATTCAATGGCCAAATGAAAACACAACAACAGACCGAATACAACTTACATGATTCTTTATATATTTAGCACGTTGAGCAAACTTTAATGTGCTCAAGGTCTCCAATGAACAGCTGCAATCAAATAATCAGTAGTGGTGATTAAAAACAAGAAGCAAAATGGACTGACAAGTTTCAGATGGACTCTAGAAATCATGTAGCAGCAAAAATGGGCTCTGAAGATCTTTAAGTAGAAGACAGATAATATTAACAACCCTCTAGGCCAAAGTACTCAGTTCAGACTGCTTACCAGCTAGATGGGCTGATATTTGCAATAATACTTGTTTTTGCATTGCCACCAAGTGATTCCTAAAAGACAAGAGAAAACCAGGCAGGTGTGTTTACAAGGAGTTTCATAAAAAAGTCAAATCCCAAAAGCAACAAATGGTTTGTGCCAAGAGTACAGGTTACACAAACAACATCAGAATATAGCATGTTAATGAAACTTCTAAGCCATCTGTCAGATAATATCACATGAAAGCAATCCAGACATAGATTATCTCCATTTTTTTATGTTGTGAAAGAATTAAAACACAATGGTTCTGATTTCAAGTTAAGTTACCAAATACCAAACACATCAAGTTAAAGAAATTTCTAAACCATCTGTGAGATAATATCACATGAAACACAATCCAGCCATGTTGTGAAAGAATTGAAACACAATGGTCGTGATTTCAAGTTACTAAATATAAGTACGGAGTATAATCTAACTGATGAATTTCTGCGTAATTTATACCTGAAGCAAGAAGGTGAGCTTTGAATCTCTATAAGGAACATGAAGCGACTTCCCATTAGATATATTCACAAGATTCATTATCACAAGCCTGTATATATCCCAAAATCAGTCAACAACTACATGTGCCCTCTAAACAAATATTACTAATATTGTTACAATAATTTTAATATGATTAGGTCACAAACCCCAATGTTGAAAGGGATTTGTTAATGTTGGTAGCTTCCTTTAACCGTTCTCCTTCTGCGCCTGAGCTCTTTTGCCTGACATTGCAACATATATAATGTCTTAATCCTTAAAGCCGAGACAATAAAAAGCCATTAATTCTAATCATTCGATTTCTGTACCTTTCAGAGCCTGCTAAATCAACAAGATTGAGCCGAGCAAACCTATGATGAGTTACACCTTGTGATTCCCACTAAAAAAAGAAAAGAAAGAAATTGGTCGATATTGATAACCTCAAACTTAAACCAGAGAACAAAGAAGATGAATATTTATCATTACCGTGCTTTCAACAGTGCAAGTAAACACACTATGCGAGCGGCTGCTAGCATGATTCATGTTGGTTGCAGCAACCTTTCTGTTGGTAGCACCCTGAAGTACTTGATTCATGAGAATAGTGCCAATAAAATGAAAGGATAAGCAAGAAGAAAGGCTTTTGCAATTTTCTTAAGCTTTTAAACTTCCATCCCCATATAAGTATAAAATAAACAGTATAAATGTCTGACTGTATAAGAATTACAATTGACCATTTTTCCTCTTTCAAAACAGGAAGGGTCACATTTTACAAGTGTTAGCATAATGATCACATTTCATCTTAAACGTCATGTAGATGAATCAATTCAAAACATGAAGCAATATCACTTAGTGGACATGTAACTACCTGCAGAAGCTGTTGGATTACATCGCGAGCACTCGTCACTTCTATCTCAGTAAGATTCTCCACATAAATTCCCTTCTTGTTATCTTCTCTGATCTGAAGATACATTCAGAATTACCCAAATAAGCCATAAGTTGATCAAAGGACATAAAGCAATTCCTGTGGCAGCATTTATATAATAGATACCTGTAGATTTAGGGAGGAGGGGTCCAAAAGATCGAGGATTTGCTCATTATATATTTCTAGAAATGAGCATCTACAGGTGTATCTTATCTTTTCTTCTCTTCGTGCCTCCTTTTCCTGTAGCATAAAAGAAACCACATTTGCAGTTATAAGCTTAATCACAGCACAATTTCATTTCTGAAGGAAAACTTTCTATAACACATCTTTTAAGTAATTGACATACTTTTTGAATTCTTGAAAACAAGTACTCGAAGACTCTAGGCGTCATTCCACAGTTGACACTATGTCTTCTGGTTCCTCCCTCTATGTCTCCAAGCATCGTATGGGTTTTCCCACTGCCAGTCTAGTGTTCAAAGACAACAAAAAGAAAGAAACAGTTCCCTCAGATAATTAATAAAATGAGTGTATGCATTGACTAGCTGCTAAATAAATTTGAAGTTGAAAGATCATTTCAGAATCAAAAGTAATCTAAATTCTTCGCATCAAAAGCTTTATGAAATGTATTAGCCTAACATTCATTACTCTGAGGCTGATATTTCTCCAAATCCTATACAAGGACAATCATCATAAGCACATAGTCGGAAATTTTTGAGGAGCATGTAGCAGTTATCCAAACATCATTTTATTTTCATTTTCAAACCAAACTCATTTACGAAATTATTGCTTATAAACAAAACAAAGCATCATCTTAATAAAAGGCCTCGGTCTGGAAAAATATTAGGAAAAATCTTTGTTCAAAGAGGAATCATATTTACAACTAACGTAGAGAGAAATAGCGCCCCTATGACTTACTTGGCCATAAGCAAACATGCAACTATTGTAGCCTCCCATGCAATTTTCCACCATGGGCACTCCGGCCACTTTAAATAGCATCTCCTGTTAATATGTGCCCATCAGAAATGCTATAAAACACAAAAGTAATAATTAACAGAACTGCAAGACTTCGTGATTAATACCTGGCTAACATTTTCATCTGCAACAAGATCAAAGGTAAAACGAGACTCTGGGTGCCCTGTCCAAGTAATTGTCTGGGAACTATCTTGTTTCACACATCGACTATTTCCTTGCAATGATATCTCAGAACTGTTTAAAGGCCTTACTCTGATAATAACCTGGATATTTTCAAGCAACAAATGAGAAGACAAGTTCACATGAACAGAAAAAGAACCTTATCAACAACATGATAAAAGTGTGATGCACCGTTCCTGATCTTGTCAAAGTTTAATTACTTTTGGACTTTCCATGAACATTGGTCACAACCAATAAGTAAACTTTATGAGCACAATTGCAGACCTCAGAAGGATTATTAAAAGCACAGTGTCAGGCAGAGAGATGCAACACAGAGCCAGAATTATAGAGGTGCGTTTTAAAGAATAATCATAATTTCACAAAAGAAATTGAGTAAGTGAAAGAAAAGTTGTGATACTCTAGGGGCCTAAGATCTTAACAAAAGCAAATAACTCACTTGCCAAACTATTGAGAACAAATACAACACATCAATTTTCAGCTGGAAATCAATTTACTGGCTTAAAAAAGGTCATTAGGAGAAGATTAGACGCTAAGAATAATCCCGGCACCTTTTTTCACATACGACCTAGCTTCATCCGGTATTACAATCAAGAATTGCAGAATTTCAGTACTCAGCGCTTCCGAGCTGGTAACTTGCTTTTCCAGTATCAATTCAAATTATTCTAACAATAGCAAAGGAAGACGAAAAGAAAACGAAATTCGAAAATGTGAGAATACGACCTGAACATTATGCTCTTTCCAGAAGTTAGGGTCTTCTCGGAATTCGAAGCTTCTAACGGCCGACGTGATTTTCTTGTCGTCATCATCATCGACACCACCGCTCTCACTAAAACTCCTAACAGCAAGAGCGTTCACATCCTTTGCAGCCGATTTGAAGGAAAGATCTGGCGTGCTCTTCACCGTCAACATCTCCGACGAGGAAGAAGCAGAAGAAGAGGCGCGGTCATGGAATCCGAATCTGGATTTGATAGCGCTTGCTGTATCTGAAAATAACGGCATTTCTCAGAATCTTGAGCGTAGTAAAATTAGGGTTTCGGATTTACCGATTTTGAATGGGAAATCAAAAAGGGAAAATGAAGAATAGGAATTTTGAAAAGAGGAATTCTTTTGGGGCTTTGATTATGTGGAAATGGAGGAAGAGAGAGCAAAGAGGGGTTTCTCAGAGGGGTCTGGGCTTCGGGAAAAGTTTGAAAAAGGGGGAAATTTTGCAGAGAGGGAAGATTGGACGGTGGAAGATTAGGAATACGGAGGGCTGAGATTACGATATGGAATTTCAAATGTTGGGGTAGTGAGGATGACCGTTGCAGTGTTTTTCTTTTCTTTTTTTTTTTTAATTAATTTGAAATGGAATGGATATTTGAATTGTGAGAGTAATTTAAAATACGTGTACGTCCTTCATAATCAATAAGCAAGTGGCAACATTTAGGGGTGTTAAGAAAAACTGACACCAATTAACCAAACTAAAGTCGGCATAAAACTGAGTTATCAACTAACTAAATGTTACCCGCACGATGTGCAGATATAAAATTTCATGTTTATTTAATCATATTATAATGGTCACGATCATCATAAGAATAACAATTATGTTAGAATGGTAATTATGTTAAATGTTACTCCTTCCGTCCCATAAAAATAGTCCAATTTAATAAAAAAATTTATTCCCAAAAAAATAATTCAGTTTCACAAAAATCAAAATTAATTGAATTAAAATGACTTAAATATCTAAAAGAAGTGTTAAGGAAAACAATGTCCACTTCCTTTGATTTTCATTTTTTTTAGTTTTCTTCTATTTTTTAAATAATTATATCTTTTAATACATGAATAATTAAAAAATGTGTTACATATCAAATTAATCTACGTAACGAGATCTTTCCATCAAGATCGATTGTCAATATTTTTTGAGATAAAATTTTTGATCAAATTTAAATTGTAGAATAAATGCATATGTAGTTAACTTTTATAGAAATAACTAGAAAGGACATTAGTTGAAGTTAGGGGCATAAAATGAGTTGTACATTTGGTGTGTTGACCAAATTAAAAAAGTTGTATATTTTTAAACTAGACTATTTTTCTGGAACGAAGGGAGTATCACTTTAACTCCCAATTCTTTTCTTTTTTTTAAAAAAAAAAACTTCTATTAAAGAACAAAACTAAATCAAAACTGAAATTAAAAGCTTTTACATATCTATACAAAAATATATCAACGTTTAATCAAAAATCTAATAGAACTTGACCAATTCATGATCCAATAACACCAAAGAAACAAAACATCACAATAAAATTTATTAAAGAAAAACAAACATTCCCATCTGGTGTATTGGTTTTAATTGATTAATTGTGATCCACTTTTATCATTTTAATTGCTGATATAAGTGTGATATTATTCTTTCGATGCACCTGAATTTTTTAGTCGTTTCATCGTGCATGTAAAAAAATAAGATCAATGATTTGATGAACATAAAATTTAAAGTCAAAGTGTGGTTAGTGATACTCTAGATGGATCATGAAGGACTTAAACAATTAAGAAGGAAAAAAAGTAACCCGATTAAAATAGATTAATCATATAAAATTAAATTAAAATAATCTAATAAGAAAAACGGATTGATATAAAAATCCATTCAACAAAACAATAAACATATTAATGCTCAAATTTCCTTAGCATACTAAACTATAGAAAATTCTTTTTTTTTAAAAAAAAAAGCTTTTGATTTACAAATGGCAATGCCTCAAAGTCATGGGCTCTTCCTCCTTGTTCTATTTTCGTGAGCCTCAATAGCATGTCCTCTTCGTTCAACATAAATATTTCAAGCAACAACCAGTTCGGCAATTCATACAAATTCAAGAAAACATATCTCTTATAAAAAATAATATAGAGATGGAGGCCTTAACATAATCAAGACAAACAAACCTTTTCTCTCTCTGCTATCCTTTTCCTTCTGAATTTTTTCCTTAAATATATTTTCTTATATATACTTGAAAAAAAATAAATCTTTCAAAAATTTTATGGACAAACTTATATGTCCCGAATTTTGGAAATCCGAATCAGGAGTAAATTCGGATTTCTGAAAATCCGAACCCCTCTAAACTCGGATGAGGGAAATCTGAATTTGTGTTATGTAAATCCGATATTAAGTTAATAACAGAAATTAGTGTAATTAATGTAAATCTGGATTTTTCAAATCCGTATTTACGAATAAAATATTAATTTTCGGATAGAAAAAATATATGTGTTGAAAAATTAAATTTGGGTAAACCCGAATCACGGTAATCCAAAGGTATGTAATCCGAATCTCCTCTGTTTTCTGCAAACTGGGAACTCCCAGTTGGCTACATATTCGGATTTGCGAAATCCGAATCCTTTACAAAAAGTCTGGGTTCGGATTTCGTAAATCCGAGTATATGTCAGAACTGAAAAAAAAATTGGACTGGTTTTAACCAGTCCAAAACCTGTTTACAGTACCGACAACAATGAAATATTGGAAAACAGAAATTTAATGGCAATAAAACAATAAATGGCATTCGATTAACAACGAAACAAATCAAGTTTCAAACCAAAATCAATACAAAAACTGTTTTAAATGTGCAAAATACATCAAAGGTCTCATTTTTTTCCCTTTTCCTTAATTATGCGCATCTAGAGTGTATTTATTTGGGGATATGTGAGTATTGAACCCTGTTGTTGACGCGGTTGGGTTTGGGATTAGGACTCTCCCATGGTGAGAAAATAGGACTCCCGGTTGTGGTTGCGACTGTCCACCAAACTGAGTCTCGGGTCCACCAAGGTCAAACTGAGTCTCGAGTCCACCAATGTCTTCAAATTGAGTCTCGACCTGGATGCGCGAGCATCGAGAAGAATGTGCTTCATCCTCATTTTGTTGCCCTCAGTTTGTTGTTGCGATGTCCGAGGGGGGATTAGGACCTTTCTCTTTCTTCCTCCTCCAATCTTATCTCTCGACCACGGTTTCGCTTTTTTACCCAGCGGAGGTTGCGAGGGCAAAGATGGTTCTTCATCAACCAGGATTTGGGTATCCTTCACGTCCATCTCATCATTTGTATCCAGGGTTAAAGCAGCATGTGTTTGATTGATGATATCGTTCAAATGCTTGTCGAGTTCTTCGTCTAGGAGATTCTCATCTTCTCGTTTTTCTCTAAACTTCTCAGAACTCACGCAAATGTTGTTCAATATTTCACCTTGAAAAGAAATTAGGACGTTAATTAAGAGAGTAAAATTCAAAAAAATAAAAAAAAAATAAAAGGAAAACATAAGAAATAAAAAAATATAGAATGAACTCACATATAATTTCACTCGGCTCGAAGAAGTCTCGTATTCTATAAGTTCATAATTTTTGGGATTGGATATCAGCCTGACAGTGTTCACCATGAACCATTCATAGTACCCCTCATATATGGAGCCAGGGTCTCCTTCCTCCAAATCTCGTAGCACGTACTCTTCTCTCCTATTCCAATGACGACGTACTGCGGAATGGTGATCCACCCAATTGTTGCTAGGATACCCAGATATACTGTGGGTGTGATCGAGAAAAAATGTTACATTATTTTTAATCATAGGGCACTTGGGAACATCCTGTATGTATCCAAATTGTCTCACAACTCTGCTCGACTCGTGGGGTTCCCTAATATCCCAACAGAACATCCAAGACCTGGTCGTCCAAATGGCTTGGCCTTGTTTACAGAAATCAGTGAGTCTATGGAGGACCTTTGCATATGGTTGCCACCGAAACTGCACGAAAAGAATTTATTTAGATGGTATAACCGGAACGAAAAGAAATTCAAAATAAATATAAATATCAAATTAAGTACTTACATCTTCAACACGCAGGCTTGTTAATTGATCTCTAAAAGGTGGGGTGCTGCTCCTTGGGGCGTCTCCGTAGGTGTACCTACATTTCCACCTTAATGAACAAACACGAAGGAGTACATTTGAATTAGTAAAAAAGATGAATAAGAAACAAATAGAAATAAACGTTGAGTTATTTTGAAATGAAAATACGTACTGCTGAGCTAATGGAGCGGTCTCATCAATCAAATAATCTACTCCTTTTCTTTGTGGCGCGATTCTCTCGATCCGCTTATACACCCATACCTAGTAAATTTCAATAATAAGGTTAAAACTTCAAATTATAACGTCGAAAGCAAAAAACAGTTATAACACCAATTGAAAACTAATACATACCTGTAGCAAATATAGACAGCCAGTGGCGTCTTGCATGGTCTACTGTGATGCCTCGCACAGTCCAGAGTACAAATATAGACAAGCAGTGGCGTCGCTCGATTTGGGTCGCCGATTGCCTCGCCGGACGATGGGGGCTGTGGAACAGCAAAATACATCGCCGGGAGAGGGATGTTTAGTTTTAGGGTTTTTTTAAACCGGGAATTGGGGGAAAAATGGGGGGGGGGGGAAGAGTTGTCCGGCTATATATAGTCTCGCAAAACTCGGCTTTCTTAAATCCGAAACTACCACATCCGGATTTCAGAAATCCGAATCTCCCCTGTTTCTCCTCAAATTGCCTACTCCGGATGCTTTTCTCAATTTGGATTGTCGAAATCCGAACGTAGTACAAATTGCAAAAACCTGGATTTCGGAAATCCGAGAACTTTGCTGCAGGAAATCGGCCCTGTTTCAGATTTTCGAAATCCAAACGTATTACAAAATATCTACTTTCGGATTTCGGCAATCCGAATCCTTGACAAAACCTTAAAATGAGCATTTTTGTTTTTTGCACAATCCCAAAACCTTTTATCAACAACTAGCCCCTATTTCATCACAATCATAGCACTAGCACCAACAATTTAGCATTAACATTACAATCCGAACAATTCAATGTTAACATTACAATCTGAATTTATCAATACAAATATTTATAGAACATTTAATTAAACAGTTGTCATTCCAAATAACTTGCAAGAATACTAAATGACTCTCAATTCCAGCTGTCATTCACATGTCTTTTATCTACTCCTGGGTGCGAGTTAGGACA